TAAAGTAGGGAGAGAATATTTTACAGGCACAGGAAATTTTATATTTTTTAAGTTTCACACATGAGGAAACAGGCTCAGAGAGATTAATTATGGTAACATAGTAAGTATCAAAGGTGGGTTTGAACTCAAGTCTCCTTGACTTCAAGTTCAGCCCCCTACCCACTACATAGTACTACTTCTCACAATGCAAAGTACAGAGTGGATATTCAATAAAAGTTGGAAGTGAGCTAACTTTGAATCATTTACTGATTGTCCACTACATCTGCCACATTCTCCTCAGGATAATTGTTGCTTTTTGGATGCTATACAACTCCTTACTCACCCAAGGGAACGAAAGGCTTGGAGGGCGAGCTGGGCTTGGAGATGCCAATGGCATTAACAGCAAATATTCGGACCTCATAGGCAACACCTTCAATCATCTTCTTGGGCTCAAATGATGTTTCTTTGATGAGATCAAAATTCAACCTCATCCATCTAGAGCTCTGTTTTTTTTTCCTTTCGATAAAGTATCCTGGTGGAAGAACAATATGTGAGTTAAAGTGCCTCTCTCCAGGCTGCAATGCAGGGAGCAAAGACAGCTTCCTGGAAGACAGGTTTTTCTCTACAGATGAACCACAGCACCATGGGCCTTGTACTTTCAAGCTAGATGCACTGGAAACCAAGTGAGTGCCTATCTCTTGGCAAGCAGCTAAGGAAATTGTGGTATACACATGTAATGGAAAATTATTGTGCCATGAGAAATTCAGAGAAGCGTGTGATGACTCATATGAATTGATGCAGAGCAAAGCGAGAAGAACCAAGACAACATACACAATGACTCCAATAATTCAAATGAGAACAACACTAAATATCAGTTACAATGAATAATCTTAGTTCCAAATCATCCTCAGATAACAGATATGCAATAAACATTAGGTAAATATTTGAAATTTCTTCAGCTTGGTGGGACCTTGTGCTCCGCTAGCATGGCCTTCAAGAACCCATGTCACCTTTGTTCCATAGAGAGGTGCCACGGTAAGATTTAAGGTGGAAAACAGTGTTATCTTAAGTTATGTAACATCTTACATGTGATGACTTTTAGATGCCACTTCTGATGTGATAGTCATAAAGCATACCCAGTTCTTTGATAATCCTATGCGTTTCCCACAAGGCCTTTACCTAGGATAGGGGACCCGCCATCATTTGCTGGTGGCTCCCAGTTCATTTTGCACCAGTCGTCTCCCACATCTATCACATTGGGCGCCAGTGGAGGATCCGGGATATCTGTGACAGACAAAACAGACAAATGTTAAGTGGGAAAGAACTTCTTCTATGAAAATCATACTAATAAGAAATGTTTTTAAAGTACTTTTGTCATAAGAATACTAAATGCAGCGAACAAGCTAACTTCAGTAAATAAAAAGAGGGAAGGAGAAGGAAACAAAACGGGGGGGGGGAGATAAAACAAAAGGAAAGCTGTAGTCCCTCACTTCTTTTCTTTCCCTTTTGAGTCACTGGGGAAAATAAAACATCTGCCAAAGGGACAAAGGTGTGGGTGGCTGGTAAATGGAAAGAGATTGAACAAGGGAAACTGCTAACAGTGAGAAAGTGGGAGGGGAGAAGCAATGAGAAGAAAAGGATTGAGCAGGGATTTGGTTCTGTTTTTGTCTTCATTTTACACTGGGGAAATGGCATCTATGGCTTGGAGGACCCTGTAGAGACTCATTGGCCTCATCTGAGAAAATGGTGGCCTAAGTGCTGTGGAGCATTGAGGAGGAGAAGGGAGAGAGAGAGACAGAGAGAGAGAGAGAGAGAGACAGAGAGGGGGAGAGAGAGACAGAGAGGGAGAGAGACAGAGAGAGAGAGAGACAGGGAGAGAGAGAGAGAGAGGGAGAGAGACAGAGGGAGAGAGAGAGACAGAGACAGAGAGAGAGAGAGACAGGGAGAGAGAGAGAGAGAGAGAGAGGAAGAGAGAGAGACATGGAGGGGGAGAGAGAGAGAGGGGGAGAGAGAGAGAGAGAGGGAGAGAGAGAGACAGAGAGAGACAGAGAGAGAGACAGAGAGAAATTTATATGCGAGGGATGGTGGGTGGTGGTAGGTGCTGGGGCATACAAAGATGAGTAAGACAGAGGCCCTGCCTTTCAAGGGGTTTATAATCTGAGAGCAAAATTAAGACAGGGAAACAAAGAACTGATAAATCCTAGACCATTTTCTATTGTTTTTAGGCTCAGATAGAGATAGAATCAGAAGATACATTAATAGTCTGAGCAGATACATGACAGTCACCCAAGGGCCATCATAGATACTACTGTTCAGTTATTTGGAATAGACTATCTGTTCAGTAATTAGATTTTAATGAAATTATAAGGACAAAGATAAAGAGTACAGAGGCATTTTTGGTGATGCTGTCACCAGCAACCAGAACTGCCAGCCTTATTCCCTGAAGTAACAGAATCAGTGACACAGAGCTAAGAAGGGGACCCTAGTGATCACTTAGCATAACCCCTCTACTTTTTTTTTCTTTTTTGACAGATGAAAAGAATGAGATCCATACACATTCGGTGCCTTGATCATCGTCATGGCTAGCAAAGAGTGCAGGTAGTGTTGAAACTCATGCTCCTAGGCTCCCTCCTTCTGTGGTCATTCAGCTGTACCTGTCTGCCTCTCCACCTCACCCCAGAAGTGGCGATCCTGGGGCTCTGACTCCTAAGTCCCTTTACACCTTTGCCACTAGACCACTTCTCAAAATGAAGGTCACAGATGTCATGGAGAATGGCAGCTTAAACCCACAGCACTGAGTGGGTATAGCGAGCTGAGATGCCTTCACACTCTCTTCTGAGTCCTTCCAAGCTGCCCCCTTCCCAAACAGTATTACATGCATCTTCTTTCTCTGGCCTTCACCCTGGCTCCATCCCACTTCTCTGGCCCCAAATGGACTCAGGCTGGCTGCCCTGAGGGACCCAAGGTGGTCACCATGACAAAACTGCCTGAGATAAAGATGCTAGGGTTAACTAATTCTGTGAAAACCAAGTTGTTTGTTTGAACTATTATTATTATACAGACCTGTGATTTCACTGGTGTCGAAATTCTCTCCATTGACATATATTGACAAGTCACTTGTAACTTTGTTTTAGAGAGCTGCCTAGAACACGGAGAGGCTTTGTGATTTTCCCAGAGTTACATGGCCAGTATTTATCAGAGAGGGCAGCTAGGTGGGTCAGTGGATAGACCGACAGGCCTGAATTCAGAAAGACTCATCTTCCTGAGCTCAAATCTGGCCTTAGAAATTTGCTAGCTGTGTGACCCTGGGCAAGTCACTGAATCCTATTTACCTCATTTGTCTCCTCTGGAAATGGCAAACCACTCTAGTATCTTTGCCAAGAAAACCCCAAATGGGATCATGAAGAGTCAGACACGAGTAAAAAACAACTGAACAACATCTATTTGTCAGAGAGAGGACGTGAACCCAGGACTTCTTGGTTCCAAGTCTGGCTCTCTTTCCCATTATTGCCAGGAAGTCACATTTCTTAAAAAGACATGTAACAAACAACCACAATCTAGTTGCCCAGGACCCATTGAGTGCTCTTAGGCAGCGATGCCCACCAGAAATGTCTAACTTCCTTAGGCTCTGTTGGGTCCTGGAGCCTCCTCACTCTGGGAGAACTTACCAACCACCTTGATTTTGATGCTTGCGTGTGCCTCCCCTGCTTCATTCTTGAGATTGATGTTGTAGACGCCAGAGTCTTCCCTTTCAGCAACATCAATGACCAAAGTGCTACTATCGGGATAGGATTCTGCTCGGATCCGACCCCCACCCTCTGCAATAGCCTAGGAAGAAAATACAGAAACAAAATGGCAGCTCCACTGAAGAGAGGGAGGATTCCTGAGGGCCTACGCTATCTCTCTCAGGGCTTCTTCACTGGGGGTCTACCTTTTAGATGGAAAATATATATACATCTGGTTTCACTGACCTCTAACTGAAATTTAACATTTCCTTCCATTACTTAAAAACATGATTCTAAGGAGTGGTCCACAGGCTTCACCAGACTGCCTGCCAGAGGGGCCCCAACCCAAACAAGTCAAGATCCCTGGTACTGATGGACAAGAGGAGCTGCAGGACATCAGTTAGGGGTGTGGCCATTCTTTGACAGACAGGAAAGGAAAAGTTCGGAAATCTTACCCAAATGTCAAATTAAATAAAATCTGTTTTCTGTGGAATCTAGGGCTGGAAGGGCATTAAGAGACCATCTGAATTACACAGCCCCAGAATCTCAGCAGTAGAAGGGTCCCCAGAGACACTCAGTCCCATCCACAGAGGTGGGGGTTTGTTTGTCTCTAATGGGTCTGTTTCCCTGTGAGGAACAGGTCTTTCTCCAGTGGATCTGAATGAGGAATTCATCCTGGCTGTAACACCTTTACTCTGACAGAATGAATTTTCCTCCAAAAGGCAAACCAACCTAAGAGTAATGAGGCAGGGGTAAAGAAAATCCACATGAAATCCATGGTTCAGGAACTAAGTAGGCCTTTGATAAATACTTGTTAACTGATCAGATTCAAATGAAACCAGCCCATTTTTAACTCACAATCTAAATTTTCTTCAGTTATTTTTCAAACCAGAATTACTTAAAAATAAAAAACCATCACTGAGTAGAATCATATTACTTTTCTCTTCTCTAGGCTACCTAACTATCCCAGAAGGAATTCATCTATCATATACTGACTATACAAATTTGAGGATACAGATTGTCTCATCATGATCAGTTATGCACTGAAATTATTTTAAATGTAACTCATTATCAGGGAAGCTTCACTGGTTGTAGTAACGATCAGTGGGAAGCGCTTAGTCAAAGGCTTAGCTTGTAAGAAACGGGCTATACCTTATCTGCCCGGCTCCACATGGCCTTGGGGGGTGGCTCTCCGCTCACTGGGATCTCAAGGCGAAGTTTGCTTCCGGCAATGACGGTCACAGTATTGTCAGCATCCAGACCATCCAAGTGTATCTTAGGAGGATCTGAATATCAGACATGGTTATTAATACCCATCATCATTTGGACTGAGCACTGTCCCTGGAGTCAGAGGACTTGGGTTCAAATCCTATCTCTGATACTTGTGACTTATGTGACATTGGCCGCATCACTTCAATTCCCTGGGCCTCAGTTTTCTCATCTGTGAAATGAGGGACTAGAGGCTCCTGTGATAGGTGTGTTGGTAGAGGGAGCCCCCGTACCAATGAGCCCCCTGATTAATCATTAGATCTAATGCGTGCTACTCACTGTGCTGGGTATCATTTGACATACAAAAGTGACTAAGGCATGGTTCTTACGGAAATGACATGGTCTTAGGGAAGTATGACACGGTCTCTGAAAGAACTCTAGATTAGGAATGAGAATGTTAGACCTGGGCCTAATACCTGAGTCTCTACCTCCTAGTCACTTGCCCTTGGGCAAACTTCCTCACTTCTTCTCTAAACCTTTTTCCTTATTTGTAAAATGACGATATTAATAGCTATCTTACAGACCTCAGGTAGTCACTGTGAGAATCAAAAGAGGTAACAGATATTGATGGAGAGCAGATTGGTACATGCCAATGGAGGGAGAAGCAGCAGCTCTATTGTCACGAGAACAGAATTATGACCACTTTGGACAGGAGGATTTAGGAAAGAGATCACAAGCCAGGCCTGAGGGAATGATATTCTTGTGATGGGAGACTTCATTTGTCCCACCTTTTGGTGGTGTGCTCTCCCTCTGCTAAACAAACAAAAGCATCTATTACATTACTGGGATGGTTTCAAGACACTTTTATTCTTCTTAAGGTAGGGGGAGCGAAGAGGGGAGCTGGGCTCTGTAATTGCTTCTGACCGACAAGGTTGAAGACATAAGCACTCAACCTTAGAAGGCTCGGAAGGAAAGCTGGGCACAGCTTGATCAATATCCAGGTTTGGGGAGCACAGAATTCAAAGGATCCAGATAAAGATTAGGTAGGATTGCATGGAGACATCAGTCCAGAAAGGATATGAAGTTATCAAGAATGAAATTCTGAAGACACACACAGAATTCCAATGAGGAAAAAGGAAAGTTCTCTTCTTAAGAGACTGATGTGCATACACAATTAGCTCTTTGACAAACTTAGGTGTCAAAGAGATAAGTTTAGAAAATGGAAGAAGGGAGGGTCATGGAGGATGAATACATAAGCTTGGCATCACCCTGTAAGAATTAAACAAGAGCACGGGACTTCAGAATGACCTCAGGATGACTGTGAATGCTAAGGACAAACATGCACTTTGAAAAAAGCTTTATTGGGAAAAAGACGATCCAAGAAGGGCTCATCCTGCTGCTCGTGGCCTTACAGATCCGAGGCCGCGAGGGACAACATCCTCTTTTTACAAACAAGGGACCGGGTCATAAGCACCAAAGGTAGTCTCATAAACAGAGGCCTCTGACTCCAGGACCAGCATTCTTTCCATTGAGCTACAATGAGAAAGGACGACTTATAGAAGGCAGACTTCCCAACTCTAATATTGTTTCTGTTCTCTTTGCCAAGGAGGATGATCTTTGGACTGAAAAAAAAAAACATTATAGAAACGAGGAGGCAGATAGTAAGACCGCCCAGCTGCCTTTGATGAACCTGAGTTTACTGCCTCACACAAATTACCTTTCAAGATACTTCCAGACTGGGAGATGCTGACTTCTCCTCCTGGCCCTCTGTGTCAGATGGCGCGAAAAAAGTAGCAATAGCCTTAGAAAGGGGGCCAAGACATGCGTTGCCTTCAGTGGGCACCAGTAGTTGGAAGGAATGTGAGAGGAAGGGATCAAGGATCATAGGACCCTCAACTGAGAGTTGCAAGGCATCTTGGAGGTCATCAAATCTAATCCCCTCATTTTACAGATGAGAAAACTGAGGCACAGGGAGCAGAAGTGACTTGTCCAAGGTCACGTCACACAGACAATAAATAGTAGAACCAGGGTTGGAATGTAGGTTTCTCTGACTCAAAATTACCCCATGACAAAGAAAGATTCCAAAGAGCAGAGTAGAAAGGTAGGGCAGAGAATAGTAACTGCAGGAGGGTTAAAGTTGAGTTTATTACCAGAGTTGATGGTGGTTCAATGATGGAAGGAGCAGACTCCCTCACCTCCCCCAAGATCCCACGCTAAAGATCAGAACAGAGACATGGGGATATGTTCAGGGAATGGCATGTGGTCCAAACAGACTAGCATTTAGGGTATGTGAAGGGGGTGAGAAGAGATGAGGCTAGAATGGTAGAATGGGACAAAATACAGAGCACCTGACTAACAAGTTAATAAATCTGCACTTAACTTGGTGAGCAATGCGGAGCCATCGAAGGTGTATGAGCTGAAGAGCAATGTACGCATATCTCTTGCTGTGATGTTTAAGCTAGTTTGGAGGTAGGAAAAGACCAGAGGTACAGAGGACCATTAGGTGCCTGTTATAAGAGTTAAGGCAAGAGGTAACAAGAAATTGAATTACAGTGATGGCCTCGGGAATAGAAAAGCTTGCACAGACAGGGCTCAGTGATTGAATGAGGGGACTGAGGAAGAATGAATGAATAGAGCATTTATTAAGGGCTTATTATCAGTAAAGCACTGAGCTAAGCATCAGCAAAACACACTGAGAAGTCAGCTAATTCCCATTCTCAAGGAGCTCCCATTCCAATGGAAGAGGGAGGAGTCAAAGATCGGAGGGCCATCATCATCAGTTTCTTTGTGCCTGACTAGGTTTATCTATTTTTTTTGTCTCTAAATTTCACATAATACAAAATACTTTAAAATTCTAAAGTAGGAATAAAAACCACCTCTAGAGACAGTGACGGCACACTTTGTGTACTCACCTATAACATGAACTTTGGCAGGCAAGGTCACACTGTAGGCATCAGGTGAAAACACGTATTCACCTTCATCCTCAACGAGAGCATTGGCTATCACTAACTTGTGGATTCTGTGAAGACAGAAACATTCATTTGTTCGACAGCCATTTATTTGGCTGGATGAGATAGAGGAGCTCATAGTCATTTCTGTTTAGTTTTCTTTGTTGTTGTTTCTGGTACATTTTTCAAGCTCTACTGGGGTGTTAGTGGGTGATCTGGGCTCCTCTAGGTCCCAGCACACCACCAACTTTGATGTAGGTTTCTTATTCAGCAGCCATTTATTAGACACTTCTTTTGGACAAAGCCCTGGGTGAGGTGTTGGGTTGTATGTTTATCAAGGGGGAAGACGAAAAGATAAAAGTCTCTGTTCTCTTGGGACTCAAAAGCTAATAGGGAGTGTTCAACACATACACAACTAACTGTAGCATCTACTAAGAAGTAATAAGAATGTAACAGAGGCACAAAGTGCTCTATAAAGGCAGAGGAAGGAGAGAAAATTTTTGACAGTGGTTGCTGTGAAGCCTTCATGGAGGAGGTAGCATCTGGGCTAGGCCTTAAAGGATGGACAGGCCAGTATACACTTGACTCTATGTAGCCAAGCATCGTGGAGGGTTGGCCATGATCTGATTGACTGGCTCAGCTCAGACATGCTACAGAATTCTGGACCTTGCCTATTCTCTTCGGCTGCCCATTTTCAGCCATAGCTCTGGATTAGATGCAATTCATGACCTCAGTGTCCTCAGTCAGCCTGTTACCTAGGCCTGAGTTTGTTATTTAGTTATTCCATACTTGAACATTGTGGCCATGGATTTGTGACATCATTGATACCGTGGATACTCTCTACGGGTACACGTCACAACCACCCCATCCCTCCTGCCCCATTTGGTCCGGTCCATATCCTTCCACGGTCCTTCCAACTACTTCCTATCTACCCAACTCCCTGTTCATCTATGATCCTTCACTCAGGTTTTATTTGTTAAGGAATAATTAGTAAGAGATAAGTAAAACTACAGAATATAGTTTGATAATACATCTTCCATACTTCATGGATCCACAACTCCATTGGTGGTTCTCTCTACCAATACAGATTATAGTCCTTCAACAACTCGTTAGATGTTCTCCATCAGGTGGTAGGACTGAAAAGTCAGTCTCTCAGCCAGTCAAGTGATGAATCTCTTTGGACATAGCTACTCAGGTCCTTGGGAAGGAGATGCACATTTCAATGAAAGCCTCTTTGGCTTGGTAGGAACTCTAGAACTTGTGCCTCATTGGTATAACTTCTGAGAGCCCAGTCATGGTGCATTGGGCAAAACACCATTTTTGGACCTGGGTTCAAGTCCCAAATTTATTCCTGTGAGGCACAGGAAGACGGTGTTAATGAAGGCTCGTTTTGGATTGCTTACCTTCCTTTGTGGACGACCTTTAAGCGTTCACTTTCTTGAACAGGTAGACCATTCTTAGTCCATTTCCCTGGTATGTTTTCAGAGATTTCACACTTCAAGCAGATTTCCTTTCCAAGTTTCACAGTTAAATCTGTTAAGGGCTGCAATATCTTCAAGGGTCTCACTAAGGAAATGGACAAAACGGAGAAATGCAGGACTGAGACTGTGGACTGGTCCGGATGCCAGACCCTCACAATGCCTACTGTTTTGCATGGACACATCAGACAAGCCTATGGCTGAAACAGTTATTATAAAATCCTGATGGCAGTGGTGTGTGTGCCTGACCTGTCCATAAAGAATCTTTTCAAGGATTAGAAAAATATACATAAAGTGATGTGCGCTAAGAGAGACAGGAGGAAGCCAAGGGGCTTTTCCTGATGTCACCCTTTTCTGAGTGATGCAGAAATGACCACAGCCCCTCCTCTGCTCCCCTACACCTTATTCTCAATTCTGCACATTCATCACAATCACAATCAGTTATGATAGTGCCAACATGCAACGTGAATGTTCAACTGGGCCTGATCTTGCTATGATGTCATGGTGCGTGATACATGCACCATGACTTTTCCTTAAGACATTCACTCTGTTGAAGACAGTAATTCTGAGAGCATTCTCAGGAAAGACCTCTTCACTAGAACGTGCCAGGGTGCTCTCCAAACTGAGTCCCATTTTCTCCACTTTGGATTTGGGCCCCAAAGCGTCCTGGCAAAGTGTTTATAAAATATCACATGTTCATGTAATTGATGGATGAGAAACTCAGGGATCCTATGAGCCTAAGTGTTTTTTATAATACAGTTCAGTCAATTCCATTCAACAAACATGTATGAGGCATCTACTATGTGCCAGATACTTAACTGAGGGTTTGGAATACAAATATAAAGAAAAATGAAACTCCTTATCCTCAGGAAAATTACAGTCTGTTATGGGGCAAATGGAAAATGAAAAGCAGCATGGTTTAATGAATACACAACTGGCCTCAAACCAGGAAGACTTGGGTTTGACACAGGCTAGTTCCATGACGTTGAGCAAGTCATTTAATGTCTCAGTGCTCCAGGCACCTCTCCAAGACTATAAATTATTTTTATTAGTAATAGAAATAATAATAGCTCATATTTATTAAGCACCTACTATGTGTCAGGAACTGTGCTAAGCACTTTACAATTCTTGTCTTATTTGATCCTCACAACAACCGTGAGAGATAGGCGCTATTATTATTCCCACTTTACAGTTTGCAGAGGTTAAGTGACTTGCCTAGAGTCACACAGCTAGGAAGTGTCTGAGGTTGGATTTGAACTCAGGTCTTCCTGACTTCAGGTGCTCTATGCCCTACGGTGCCATCTAGATGAGGTGCTGAGAATTGCAGAGAAAGTATTGATTGTATTGGTAGAGGGAATTCCCCAGCTGATAGGGTGAGAGGGGCAGAAGTGACATCTGATCTGTGCTTTGATGATAATTGTGTGCAAGTGTCCACTTTCTCTCTCTTCAAGCTAGGAAATACCATGTGTAAAATTTAAAGGAACCTTAAAATGTGATATTCCATTTTTAAAGCCTTTCTTGGCCCTCATTTTCTGTTGGTCTCCTCTGCCTTTGCTCTCTGACCTAACGTTCTGTGTCAGGTTGTCTACCCTGGCCTAATGAGAAATAAAGATTTGGCTAGAACTTACTCTAGTTTGACCTCTCTCAACATAAGCAGAAAATGAACAGTTGGAAAATTCCCAACGATCACAGATTCCCAGCTGGAGGCCCCTCTGAGGCCATCTGGCTTAACCCCCTCCTTTTACAGTTGAGGAGACTGAACCCCAGGGAGGTGAATGATGTGCCCAGCAACACACAGGTAGTTAGCGGGCAAGCTGGGACTTGAACTCAGGTCTTCTGGATTCCAGATCCAACATACTTTCTACTGCACCATGCTGCCTTAATTTCCTATAATCAATATTGACAAAAGTGAGAAAAAATCCAACCATGGCTATTTGAAATGCAGGTTAGGAAGGCTTACAGTCCACGCTCAGTTTGGCAGAAGACTGTCCCCCGGTGGTCATGACAGAATATTCTGCGGTGTCTGCCTTGGTAGCTCCGTTTATGATCAAGATGCGTTTCTTTCCATCCACCTTGACCTGGTATCTGGACTTTGGACCGATGTCAATCTCCTCACCATTCTTAAACCTTGATGAAAAGTGAGAAAAATTTCCACATCCTGAATGGAGAACTAGAAATGTTCTGGTGGCTTAGACTACTCCTTCTGCGCCTCAGATAAGACCAGACTCGCCCGACAGAATTGCCAGAATTGTCTTGCCTGACATAGCAAGATTCTGCCTTCCTCTGGATGCTCCCCGGCTTACCAGGGTCCCTTCTTAAACTGTGGCAGCCAGAGCTGCACATACTCCAGAGGCTGACTGATGAGGGCAGAGGATGGCAGGATGAACACATATGGCCCTTGAAAAATACTATTCAAAATTACATTCACCACATTTTCAAAAAGGATAGTGATGGGACCCCGTTAAATAAAGCTCTGGCTCCAGAACAGGATGCATCTACTCCAATGGATTCCCATTATACCATTTGTGGTACTTAGGCCAAATCATCTTAGTTTCAGGATTCAGTTCTGCAAATGTCAACATAAACATGGCAGAAACTATTTCTATCTCTCCTAAGAGCAATGATAACTTCCATTTGCAAAAGTGCTTCTGGCAACTTTTGGTTGCCAATCTACATAGACCTGGCATAGTCAGATTGAGATCGGTCCTGGGAGTTCAATTTCCCCAAACTCTCGTCACCATTTTAATGAGGAACCTATTTTGGCGTGTTAGGAGATAAGACCCAAGATGGGAGGTATCAAGGAGTCCTACTCTGGTCCAGGGATGGAGAGCTTTTACAGAGTGGGGTACTTTCCCAAGAGGCCACGTGGGCCAAGGGTTGTATGCGCCTCCTCATTTTCGTCCATTGGAGAATGGCCAGACCTCATGGGCAGGAGAACGGCTGCTTACCATTTCACGGTGGCGTCATCCTCAGAAACCTCACACTCCAGCTCGACTCTTTCCCCACAGTAGGCTTTGGTGTCTTCCAGTTGTTTGGTCACCATTACTGGGGGCTCTGGAGTGAGAGACAAACAAACCAAAGTCATCAGAGGCCCTGGTCACACAGACTTTCACCCTCTGATTCCTCGCCAACCATATGCCTCCCCTGGAGGGCTCTGAAGAACACGCACCCTCTCACCCTGGGCCCCAGTCTCTTGTTGATCCGTGGTTCCTCCTTTGAGCTGTAGACATATGTAGGGACAGAGAGATGAACTAGACTACGGTTTAATATAAACTATGATTCAGCTGATGGAGGGAGCTTCCAGTGCAAGTCAGAACCTTCCCTGCAACTTAGTTTTAGAGAACTGCCTAGAGCCCTGAGAGATTAAGTTACTTGTCTAGGGTCACCAAGGCTGCATGTATCTTGAATCCAGGTTTTCTTGAGTATAATATGTAAAGAGAAAGAGAAGTTTCCTAGTGTTCCCAAAGTGACTTCTATGGTCGATATTTCTGATGAAAGAAAGAATATACAAAATTCAGTGGAAACCTCTAGTCTAAATCAGGAGTCCACAGCCTTTCTTGTGTCTTGGACCCCCCAAATGGTCTGGTAAAGCCTAGACATTCTTCTCAGAATCACAGTTTTTAAATGCATAAAATACATAGGATTATGAAGGAAACCAAAGGGTAATGAAAATAAAGATGTGATTTCCGCCCCCACATGCAACTTCAGGGCCACTCTGAAATCTATTCATGGACCCCAGGTTAAGAACCCAGGATGGCATAGCTCTCAAGTTTTCCATTCTGAGTGCATTTGCAGTAAAGAGAATAGAAAGTGGAACACTGTATTCATCCTGGAACAGGGTTCAAATAGCACCACTCTACAAATGGCAGCTTTCTAGAAGCTTCCATGTTGTATTGAGGCTGACCCTTTATCTCTTCCCTAATGAAGCTGGTGGTAAGGGAAAGCCTATGCTTAGGCAGATGGGCATTTAGTCGAAATTTTATGGTATGAATAAATAAGGGTCTATAGGATGATGGGCCTCCTTGAATTGGAAGGAACCACAGAGACCAGGTAGTCTATTCCTTTCCTTTTACAGAGGAGGAAACTGAGACCCAGGGGGGTCAAGCGACTATGTCACACAGAGAGTAAGTGACCAGAATCAGGATTTGAACCCAGGTCTTCTGACTCCAAATTGAGTTATCAACCCACAGTACCATGCTGCCTCAGGAGGATTTCTCATATGGTCCACATGCTTAAGTCACAGCAGAAAATTTACTTTTTTTAAAACCTGGTTCCACTGAGTTTGGGAACTAAAAGCAGTAGACATATTTGATTAGGGGTGATTCTCAATCTTCTTCATATTGCACACAGCTACAGACTTATTAGAGTGGCCTGGTATGCTGGATCCACCCCAGGGTGAGGAGAGGAGTAACACCCAATGCAAACAGTTTTTGTATATGAGGTTACATTTACTCTGGGAACCCAAGGCCTTATTTCATCAAGTGGAAATGCAATCACCTCTCTGTGTCACATTTAAATAACAATCTCTGCTCTCTTGAGGGCAGAACTTCCACACTTTTACTATAAAGATCAAAACTCTGGGATCCTTGTTGAGGTAAAGTTTTAGTTGCCAAACTGTGTGACGGAGGTATTTTTAATTTTTAGAATTTCCTATTGAAATGTGAAGGGGTTGGGGTCCTCTTCTCTACTTAATTATTCTCCAGAGACATTCCCGATCTCTTGGCTGTGGACGGGGAGCAGGGAATAACTATGAAAAGTAGAGAGGATGGCAATGAGGCAGTTGCTGAAAATGAAGAAATGCAGGAAGGATATCAGTAAACAGCTGTTCAAACAGACCAGAAAGTCACCAAACATTTTTTAGGAAGCAAAGACCTAGAGTACATCTGAGTGAATTCCTCAGTAGTCTTTCTTGTAGCCTATATATTCTTTAAGATTCTGACTTCTAAAGTTAGTCCCAGTGCATCCAGGATAGAATGAGGCAAAATAGTAGCTTGAAGGAGGAATTCTCAGGTCATTAACCCAAGCAGAGAGAGAAGCAGCTGCTTTAGAACAGAAAAAATAAGAAGTGTGATTTAAGTAATTTTACCTCTTACAAAGAGTTCTGTGGAACACTTCTCGTCCCCAGCTGTCACATAATACTCAGAATCATCTGTCATCTGGCAGTTATTGATAAACATGATTCTTTGGCATCCTTTGTGCTCAAAGATGTATCTGTTTTAAAAAGAAATGAGGGAAAACGCATGTTAGTGAAATTGACTTTATTTTGTTCTGACTCAAAATGATAATTAAAAAAATAAATTGGTCACTCTGAGCTTCTTAGATTCAACAGCTTTGAACACTGAAATTTGGCCTATTCTTTCGGCTTTTCATTTATGGCATGAACTCTGCAGAATGTTCAAGGATAATGACTGTATTTCACCTGGGAACTGACTTCATTGACAGGAAACTATCCTGCAAGACCACGTCAGCCCTGAAACTCCCACCTCCCTGGTCTGCAGCTGCTGCCCCTGATCGTGGGGGAGAGCACCTTCCAGAACTTCAACGTCAGGAAGCACTTAGGCTAGCCATCTTTTTGTTTCCCTCCTGGCTGCGTTCACTGGACTTGCTCATGGCACCCCACTCCCAGAATCTTCCCCTCCCCCAGCTGCCTTTAGCTTCCTTTTATGTGTTTTATTCCCTCATTAGATTGTCAGCTTTCTTTTTGTATCAGCAAACCCAGCTCAGCACAGTGCTTGGTACACAGTAGACACTCAATGCTTCTTGACTGACAAACAAGTTTTAGAGGGTTGCCTGAGGCTCAGTCGAAGTGAAAAGACTTGCCCATCCTCACACGGCTAGAATGCTTCACAAGCAGGATCTGAATCTAGGAACCCAGAACTTCGTCTGCTCCCTGACATACTGCCTTGGGATCATGAATTCCTCTGATTTTTATGAAACGTCTCACCTTTTCCCCTCTTATATCTCACAAATTCTTTATTGGGGTAGGGTACACACATGAAATTTTACTGGCATAGAGAACACCCTTTGATTTTCTTCTCTGCCAGTGATAGTCTCAGAGAAGTCAGCACTTGGGGCACTGGGAGGTTGAGTGACTTGCCCAGGGTCACACAGCCTTCGTCAGAGGCAGGGCTTGAACCCAGGTCTTGCAGACTGTAAGGCTGACCCAATACACCAAGATGCCTTTTCTTACATAACATGCCTAAGTCCATCAATTTAAGAATCAGACTGTTAGAAGTGGATTATGGCGCTGTGAAGGCAGATCAGTCTTATGTAAAGCAGGAGGCCCAAGAGTGAGAACTGCAGTCTGTATCTGCATGTTTCATCAACACAACACCATAATTCCGAATGTGCCCAAATGCTGGGATCAAGTTTCCATTTTTTCATTGTAACTTTTGGCGATCACAACAAACAAATGTCTGCCCACCAAAACATGAAGCAATGTAAGGTCAAATTATTATTTCATTTACAAGTAGCACCACACAGGGACCAGCGTTCAGATCATAGCTCTGTCACTTATAGCGTGGGGAAACTCAAGCAAGGGACTTCAAACCTCTTCACCTCAGTCTCCTCATCTGCAAAATGTCCTCGGAGGTCCCCCCCTGTCCCGCCCCCAGCTCTAAATCCAAGATCTCATCAGCATTCGTTAATTCAGCACTTACTTTGTACTGGGTCGTATTTCTTGTCCATTTTTGTACCATTTCACTTCTAACTTTGGGTCTGCCAGTTCCACCACAAATCTGACTTTACCACCTTTGTCTACCTGGTAGGCAGGATCAAGAATTTTGGAAAAAGCTAGAAGAGAAAGGAAAAAAAGAGGATTATTAGAAACAGAAAAAAATAAATGTGAGGACCAAGAATTTAAATAGGAAAAATATATAGATTCACTAACAATGAGAGTGCCCGCAAACAGGCTCACCAGAGGACAATTTGTGTTTGTATCCTCCACACTCAATTGTCAAACCTCAAAACAAGCTTTTAGGTTCCATGTCTATTTGTGTATGCAAAATAGACACACTTTGCAAAACTGAGGCTTGAAAAAGAAACAATATACTTTTTTAAAAAAAGGTAAAATAAGGAAAGAAACTGTCTTCTCAATGACCTTGAGACATTGCTTAGAAAATTTGCTGGTGTCTCCCAGAGTGAGAGTACCAGAAATGTAAACATTCAAAAGGGGCTCAAATGAGAGGAAACATTTATTCTTTCAGCGTAATCCCTTCTTATACGATTGACATGATTTTGCACTTTCTACACAACAAATGCCATTTTTGAGAGTCTCACATGGAGATGAATTCTATCAACATGGTCTATAGAGGGCTAGTCAGAAAAACCTGGGTTCAAATCCTGCCTCTGACTCTTATTAGCTGTGTGATTCTGGGCAAATTATCCTCTGAACTTCATTTGGAACCAGATCATAGATCTCAGGTTGGAAGGGAGCTCAGAGATCATCTAATCCAAACCTCTGATTTTCCAAAGGAGAAAACTGGGGCCATAAGAGGTCAAATGATTTCCCTGAGGTCACACAGGTAGTAAGCATAAGAGGTGAGATTAGAACCTGTGGCCTCTGACTCCCTGGCCAGGGTTCTTTCCATTGAAACATGCTGGCGTAGCATATATAAATGCTATTCCCATGACCTTCTTCTTAAAGCATAATTGGAATGGCATTTATGGTTGTGACTCCAAATTCTCAAAGTAAACTCTGCATCAACAGGGCAAAAATTGTACCCGAGCAACCTTGGAAAATCATAGGAAAACACTGCTACGACACCTCTAGGAGTTAAGGATCAGTTTCAGTGTTAATTTCTACCTCTCCCCTCTCCTCCATCAGCTCCACATCTCACTTGTATCTGGCTACTTGGCTTAACCTTTTAATTTTAACAAAAAAAAAAATCCAAACAACACTGAGGTTTTAAAAAAAAATTTCCACTTTCTACATACCTGCGCTTTTCTTCTCAACCCTCCTCATGCGCTTCAGACGCTTGAGCATGCCTCTCAGATCAGTGATACCATACTGAAAGGCAATCTTCTCGTATTCACTGGGATTGGCATTCTTCAGAAGCTCCCACACATCTATTTCTGGCTCCTCTTCCTGTTGCTTGATTTCCCTACCAAAGGCAAAGGGCGTTAGCCATCCGGGGTAGAGTAGCTACACTGCCTTTTCAAGAAGGGACAGACCGAGATGAGCATGGACAAATCGGATACCAAAATTCCCACTGAAGGTCTGAGGAACTAAAGCACACAGTTGGTCTCATTGTCTTTGAATTAAATTTTAGGGGAGCTTTCGGGTCCATAGAAACACAGTCACTTACTGAAAGTAATGTTTTAGTTTTTCTGGTCATAAAGTTTCCTTTATGAAATAGCAAGAGATGGTTTTTGTTTTACAAATACTCTACTCTCGTTTTTTTTTTTTTCCCTTCTCATTTTTGAAAGTTACTTTGATAATATCTCGTTAGAACTTGAGTTTGGTGATACTCCAGAAGAGTTTAAATGTTCATATTTGGATAATGAATTCACTAAAAATGGGTTTAATATTCAAAGATTTTGATGTTAACAGAGAAGAAAGAGAAATAAGTACTATGCATGAAAAATGGTGTGGTATAGCGGCTAGAGAAGTAGTCTCAGTCAGGAAGACCAGGATTCAAGGCTTGTATCTGACACAAGCTGACTGGGTGACTGGGCAAATCACTTAGTCTCTTAGTGTCCTCTTAGAGCCTCGAAGGCTCTACAGTGAAATCTAAGGGCTAGTCCCTACCATATGTAAGTGTATGTGCGCATATATAGTATTTACAAATATTGATTTATAAAAGTGTTGGTTTTAAAACCACTTATTTGATAAAATCAAGTTTAAAAAATTAAATAAGTGATTATTTTGAGGAATTATGGACAGCCCATCTGTTCTTCTATTCTCCATATAATGTTAAGAGATCCAGAAGACAGTTCCCAAAACATTGGGTAGACCCCTGTGGTGAACTAATGGAAGCGCATTGAAAAGAGAAGCATTGGATGGGCAGGGTTGGAGAGGGTGCCCACTTTTGGTATTGAAGTGCCACTAAAATATCAAAGTTTATTTTTGCCAAGCTGGGTTTCTACATATCAACCATTTTAGATTGTTGCCCTAATCGCTACACTAAAATTTTGGTGTGTTTGATTTTTATTAGAGATACCAATGTGCTCTGGAAAATGGATGTCCCTAAAAAGGATGAGCATTTTGGCAAAGAACGTAAGAGAGGGATAGTTTAAACTTTCTGTTTCCATCATGGCCAGTGAACTCTTGGAGTTCCATGGCTGACTATGAAAGTGACTTTTTGACGTGGACACATGAGTGATGAAAGACCAGAAGGTTCTGATGAACCTTTGGTCACCGATTACAGAAGGCCTTCAACTTTGGGATGGGACGTCTACAACCTACCCACTTATAGAGACCACCAACATTGACACCTTGGCTCAAGATGAAACACATCTTTGAGCAAACAGCTGAATGTTCCTTAAGTGACTTTGTACGCTGCTTAGTCTTCAGTTAGTTTCACTTTAAGATTTTACCACGCTTACTGTGAATCATGTTAGTTTGGATGAGACTCTTCCTACGTGAAATTCAATCAAAGCAGCATGGAAACCAATGTAAAAGCTGATAGATGCTCTTACACAATTAGCCATGTCAATTACATTTCTTCCAGGATTTCTTACAGATGTATCCCATGATACTTGCATTGGGGGCTATTAGAATATAGTAGGGGTTGGGTGAGGGGGACTTCTATTCACATGGGGCTGGGTTACCTACTCCTTGGACTTTTTTTTCTGGTAGGCTTGACTATCCACTTAGAGCTTTAGCCCACTCACAAGTAGACTAGGGAGAGAAGGCTGCTGTAAATCTCTGGCGAAACAGAATGCGGCAGATAAATTACTAGTATAAACAATTTCCCAATAGGGCAGCTCTGCTTCTGGAAGTCTAGAAATGACTTGGGCAGGGTGATGGCAGAATATGTCCGCAATATCCTAAGGCCAGAGCCTTTATATTCAGCTTATTGAAGCAATGGTTACAGCCCCTCTGTTAACTGAGGGAAACCGAAAGCTTTATGAGAAAATTGTTTGAGGTTGGGACATTGGTAATCATTCAAAAGATTCCCCAGATCTATAACCTACTGTAAGCAGCCTTTGTCACAAATACGTCCTCTGAATTTTTCAGCAGAAAGATTTAGAGAATTGCAACCAAAAATGTGCATGCATAGACATATAGATATATATGTTATTTTTTCCCCTGAACCAAGTCAAAATGTCACAGGCCTCTGGAAACGAGCAATTGGTGCCACTAAAATATTACTTCACTTTGAGGAATGCGTATTGCTCTGATAAGTCATGCTAAGGGTCCACACATAAGGACTGGCCTGCCATAAAATCGGCATGCCATCATTGTCACATGAAGCCTATGTATATAGTTGGACTTGGTTTTTTTAAAATATATATATCTATATCTATATCCGTACATTTAAGAAGCCATTCTGCTGTGTGTGAAAAGAAGCTAAGGTGTCAATGTCAAATTCAATAATGCTGAACTCAGTGGGGTGCTCTGGGGAGACAGCTTGCCCTTCGGGGGTCTCAGTTTTCTCATCTATAAAGTAGGGAGGTTGGTCTAGGTCAGAAGTTCCTATACTGGGGTCCATGAATTAAAAAAAAAATCTGACAACTATTTCAAAATAACTACTTTTGTGTTTTTAAAAACATTCTGAGGAGGGGTCCATAGGCTTCACAAGACTGCCCAGTGGCTCCACGGCACAAAAAAGGTTAAGAATCCTTGGATTAGATGATCTCTGAGGACCCTTCCAGTTTTTATATTCTGTGATTTTTTGATCTTCCTGATTTCTGATGATCCTGATTCTTGAAAATCAATCCTGATTGATTTTCCTGATTGTGTCTTTAACAATGAAGAAAGGGGTGGGTTCTTAAAGCCAACTTTCCCAATTTTCCACCCACTCCCAGACTCTAAGACCTGTTGGTAAATGCTGTAAATATCAAGAACTGCTTCCTTTTTCCTTTCTTCTCCTGATGTTCTGCTAAAGGGTCACAAGGAATCAGGAATAGTAGCCACCACTAAGCTGTTGTTGAACCGAACATGAGTATAACAGCAGGGCCTTCTGACCATTGCACTCAGAGCTCTAGAGTGAGCCGCAGAGAACAGAGCAAAGGGTCAGCTGGGGGGGCACTCAGCTGGACTGTGACCCCAGGAAAGGGGGGAAGCAGCCTTCTGGTGGCTTCCTATTTGAAATGTTTTTTTTTTCTTGCTAGCTAAGGATTAAGCTCCGTTATTTGTGAGCTACCAAAGGACTACATTGCTTTTAGCTCCTTCTTCATTTTGATACCCTGGAACAAAGTCCAGATCATTTTTACTTTTAGCTACAGCACTTACAACTACTCTAACTGCATTTTCTCAGCTCGTCTGGGAGACAATATCTACTTACCGACTTTCTGTCGGAGGCAGAAAGGACCTCAGAAGTCATCTTTTCCTACCTGTACTGGAAAAAGGATCTGTCTACAACAGACCCAAGTAACCTTTGCTTAAGACTTCCAGTGAGGGGGAACTCACTACGGACCAAGGCAGCCCATTCCACTTGGGGATATGTCTGGTTGTCAGGAAGGTTTTCTTTACATCAGCTTTAAACTTGTCTCTCTGACATTCCCACCCATTTGTTCTAGCTCTACTCTGTTGTTTTAAGCAAGAGTAGAGAAAAAATAATAATATTTCTTATCTAGATTCCTCAAATTTCATCTTTTAGACTGAACTCATATAAACAATTCCATCTCCATAAAATGTAAATAAGGTGGAGGTTCCATTAACTAATTTTTTTGTATAAAGTACTAAAGAGCACTTATATAGGTCCTATCCCTTTAGAGCAGACTTTAACGGAGGACCCACATCATCTAATTACACTAAAAATTGGTCCTGTTAAATGTTGTTGGAAGAGTCCCAAGTTTGGAGATCTTTTAATTTTAAAGAAATTTTGGTTGAAATTAAATTGATGCTAATGATATTTTACTTTATACATTAATAGAGAAGTAGAGATGGCAACCATATCTTACGATGAAAATGCATGCAATTCACAAAGCTATAGAAAAACTTACAGTCAACAGTAACTGAAATACATTATGATATTAGTAAAGCATGTTAAAAGAATATAGTCTTAAATGACAATATCAGTCTAGTCAATGAAATAAAAAAAGTCATAATTAGGGATGTGAGGAGAATGAAAAAGGGAGACACAGGCTATCTACCTTGTCCAATATTTTTCTTTTTCACTTATCTCTTATAGTCATGTAGTTTGATAATACTTTTCTTTGTCCCTACAAATACCTGGTGAGACCAGGTTTACTTTTTAAAAATTTTTTATTGTTCATAAATCAACTTACGGTCTTTATTTAGTACTTTGTCATATGCTATCTTGTACTGTTATTTAATTTTTTCATGTATTTTTGTCTTGACATCTTGGATGAAATCAATAATTTCCTAAGGGCAGGGACCATATCTTAGGTTTCTTAGTATTCCTCATATTACCTAGCATAGCATTCTACAAATATTAAATAAATGCCGAAACCTGTACTATATACTATATTAGGGAATAGGAACTGAACCTCTGATTTGATTGGTACAGGGAAATGTCTCAACCAATGTCTCACATCACATCTCATATCTCGACCAAATGTCTCATATCATATCTATGATCCTAATCGTGTCCATGCTGAAACTGTCAAGGTTTTAACAGAATGGCCAATGTTGTACAAGTAGGTAAGAAATATGCTGACTCTTTCTTTTCTACTTGACATGCATCCAAAGTAAGGCATGAAAGTCTGCCAGAACCTTTTATGCCCAACACTGGTATTTTAGCAGTACACCTTCTGCCAAATCTGACCAAAAGGTATTACCATGACCATGATATTTGATCCTGTGGCGAAGGCAGGGTCCTGAAAAGAGCACCAGATTAGGAGTCTAGAGATCTAGGATTCCGCCCTGTCCAGCTGTGTGATGTTACATGAGTCCCTCTCTGAACCTTTGCTGTCTCAGCAGTGCAAGGATGAAAGCTCCAATTGTCTTGCCTACTTCCTAGGGCTGCGATGAGAACCAAAGAAGGTGACCTCCGTAAAGCATCTCGAAAATGATGCAACACAAGAGAAACAAGAGATGCTAGTAAAATCTTAGAAATCCAGTTGAGTTGAGCTTTTTATCAAACGCAAGGTACTGAGTTAGCTCTCTGTGTTTGATAATTAGCCAGAGGTAGTAGATTTTCTACAAGTAAATTTCTAGTCTGCATCAGTCAGTGGCTCATCTTAAAGGTTTGTGTGGTGCATAGCAGACATCTGTCTACACCAGTCTCAATTTTCACATCTCCCCATCCCCAGACAGTTAAAATGTGAAGTTTCACAGATGAATTTTTCAAAAGATTTTTGAACATTTAAAGCATTTACTAAAATCTTTCAAATGAATAGGCAAGTCTTTCCTTTCTCTATTTTCTTAGTTGATGCTGTTATACTCTCCAAGCAAAACGTGTTAGGAAGAAAGACCATTCATTTTAAACTTGACTTTTCTGTGCACGAAGCTAATGGTTTCCAGCACACAGCCCCTCACTTCGCCATTGGTTCTCACCTACGTTTCAGGAGACCACTAAAGTCAAGTTCTCCTGCATCCTCTTGTCCTTCACCGCTGTTGTTAATAAAAGAAAAGCAAACCAGTGTTTACTCACTGAGACAAGGACCACCATCCATCGCAAACACTCTAGAGAGAACTTATATGCAATTTTTTTTTTTTTTGGCACACCAGGAACAGGACTAAAACCAACACAAACTTGTATTCTTTTTCACACAAGGGACAGTTTCCATTTCTAGCAGGTACTCTTGTGGAAAAGTCAACACAAGGACTTGTGTTACGCTCCAGTTTCAGAAGAGTTTCTGTGATTTGCATCATGGGAAGTAGTGTTCACATCGATGAGATCACAGACCCAGCAAAGTACCCATATTCCGTAGATTGCATATATATCAAGTTGCGTAGATTTGTGTTATAATTGAGTAACACAAATGCATTCAAGCCAACCAACAGAAAGTACTTTGTTTTTGCAACTTTGAGGTCTAGACAAAGGACTTTGGTGATCTCTGTCATGCAGGTGGACAGAGATTGGCTTTGTTCTAAAGAATACCCAATGTTAAATACATAGAAGGAAGCCTCATAGCCCAAGTTTCTCTGGTGGCGTCAATGAGTAGATGACTCAGATGACGTGTTCAAAAGAAAAAAAAAATCCAACATTATGTATGCTTCCAAGGTGGAGATAGAGGGTAGCTTATTTAAAGATGCATTCCTTTTGGTTTTAAGGGGAATTAATTCATTTTTTGGCTGCAGCAGCAATATTTACTCAAGTTTTTTTCTTTTTTTTAAGCCTGTAAAGAAACAGTTTCTTTGGGCTTCATTGAATTGTCAAAGAAGCTTAAACTATTGATTTGGTAAATCATCGGCTATAGAAGAATGCATCTTAGATTTGGCATGCAGTCACCTTTTTGGCTAGAGATTTAACTGAGACTGAGCAGAAGCTAAAGAATTGACATCAAAATGGTACCATTTACTTACATGTTTAAAATTTTAAATGGAGGTTTTGTTTCCTGCTGTTTACAAATGTTATCTATAGTTTTCTAAGAAAGCGTCTGTGGGGTTAAAAAAAACAATGTGCATACAATACACAAGTTATAACGGTTCAAGGAAAAAATACGTATCCAAAAATTTTATTTTAAATTAATAGCAAACATTTGGAGTAAGCAGAGGCCCTTCTGAGGTATGCACATTTCTATATTTCCAAGAACATAAATTTGTATATTGGGTTTTTTCTCTTCCTTATGGAATAAACCTGTTCAGAATACAAGCTACTTTTTGAGGCAAATATCTGCAATGCCCCGCTCAAAAATTGTGGTTAGAGACAGGGAGGGTACCAGGACTTGAAGTGTTCCAATGTCACTTTTCCAAAAGGGAAAAAGAAAGTTGCCTATAGGGTTATTAGGAAATAATAAATATTATTTCATTTGTTGGTTCATTAATTAAACAAACATTTATATTTTCACTGATTAAGACAGTAGAAGGGCAATAATGCTTAAAACAAAAAAAGCCATCTAATCATAGTTTCTTTCATTGCTTTGAAATAAAGATTCTAATTCAAGATAACCTTTTTTAGATTTAATGAATAAAATACAAATGCTACATTGGGCAAAACGTTTAACCTGATTAAAGAGTTAGTACCACATCAAATTAACTTCCATCAGTCAAGGAATGGCAGTAAGGGGCAGGGCTATTTGTGGTGTAAGTTTCTTCTGCAGACTATTTAAGCTCCTTTCTAATCCATCTATTCTGACCAGATTATTATCCATCCCTTCTCTATTTGCCAAAATCATATTAGGTGTCTATGTTTTGTCAGACTAGTTTTTTTCTGCCATTCAGTACTCTAATTGGGGCAATGAAATATTTAAATGATGCCAATTTCTATGGCAGGCCACATGTTGGGACAAGGGGCTTTTTGATACACAAGTTGAGAGTTTGTTAAATGCGTTGAAGGCTCTGTAGTCTTCAGATGAAAAGCAACATAGATGGCAAGTCTTTTGTATTACCTATCTTATGCCATGTAAAGGAAATAATATATGGACTTTAAAAGGAATAAAGAAACACATTTCTAAACCTTATAAGCCAAACCCTGGCCCATACTTTATGCATGACTCCAAATACATTTTTTTATATACTGGCTTCTTAGATTTGCTTATGTAACTAGGCTATTTTTGAAGGAAAGTCCTTGAAGGCAAGAAGGCATGGCTAAAAGACAATCATTTTCCCACTGGCACAGGATTATTTGACCCCAACTTGGCAGGGATTTAGCCTTCCCAAAGCAGCCTGGGGAAATTCCCATGATGTCAACTAACTAGACAAGACTAGACAGTATCTCTAGGAGCACAGCAGGTCACTAACACTCATGTCGCTGCTCCCTAGAAAAGGACAAAAATGGTCACTGAGCTGACAGCCCACTAGGTAGGCACCCAACTGCCCCTGGCTGTCTCTCAGAAGCTGCTTGTCTACACAATTGATTCAACATGACTAGTAGGAGACATTTTGGCTTACATAATAAGGATCTTCTCTAATATTGGACCAGGAGTAAATTTGTCCCAAAGATGTCCCAGAGGAGCTTGAAGGTACTGTAACTATAAACAATGGACTTAACCAATGTTCTACAAACGGTGCACTTCATATCTAGGGATGTTGAGGGGTATTAAAGGCAATTTCATCTACAATCCAATCTAATAGCTCCTGAGCCTAGGGAGATAGAAAAAAGATAAAAAAGAAAGTTTCTTAAAGTTCTTCAGTCTAGGGATCTCCCAGTTACTGGAAGATAGTGAGGTAGTGGAAAGAGAGCTCACCTTGGAGTCAGGGGAACCTAGATTTAAATACTACCTCAGATACTCAGAAGCTGTATCACCCTGGACAAGTCTCTTAACCTATCTGTGCCTCAGTTTTCTCAATTGAAAAATGGGCATAATAGCACCTGCCTCATGGCGGGGGGGGGGGGGTTGTTGTGAAGGTTGAATGGGATAATGTATGTAAAGCATTTTGCAAACCTTGAAGAGTTATGTAAATGCCAGCTCTGCTTACAGTGCTGGAACAGCTCTTAGGCAGACTAAGTCTCTACCCTGTCACTAAGCTAAGGTGAGGAGACTTCAAAAAAAAAAAAAGAAGGAAAGATGTTTTCATTCTCTACGTGATGGCTAGAGGCACTATGGAGGGGAGCATCCTTTTAAAATTTTTAAATGGGCATGTGTATGTATGTGTGTGTATGTGTGTGTGTGTGTGCGCGCGTGCTCACTGTCTACACATAGCCTGAGAAAAACAAATCTGTTTCAGGAAGAAAAACTCTATATCTTTCGAAGACCAAAGTGACCCTTGGGAAAATGTGGGCTTGACTGGAGCAAGTTCATCCTCAGACTGATCGTACATTAAATTTGGCATGGCCCTCCAGCCCACCCCAAGGCCAATCCCATCGCTAGGCCTCTAGTTGGTCTAGCCTGGAACACATGGGAGGTGTGAGCCTGTCAGCGACTGCAGTCCTAACAATGGGATACAGAGAGAGGAGGAGAGGGACACATGGGCTCTTCTCCTATCCAATGTTATTACAGGAGTCCTATGCGTTCCCAAGACGCCCATGCGAAGTTACCTTCTTTTGAAAGCAGATCTGATATCGATGTTTGGAGTGGTTTCAGTAGATTCTTTAAAAGAAAGGAAAACAACAAAGTTAATGGCCATGAAGACGAGGGCCTTGGGTGAGATCAGTGCTCCAGCTGAGGTGGAGCTAGGGCAGAGGTGACGCAGGTGGGTGCAGCGGACTCAGAGGACCTGGGTTCAGATTCCACCCGTGCGTAACCCCGCGGACATCACTGGATGTCTCCGGCCCTCGGTCTCCTCACCCAGCTGCGCCTCTTTCTTGTTCCGAATCTATGATCCTGTGGTTCTCCTGTCTCTATCTTGTTCAACCTCCCAAACAGTGTGAAAATCCATTCTGCATCCTTCCTGACAGGGAAGTCAAGCTTGTTCTTGAAAACTCCGGTGACAAGGAGCTCCTTCTCTACTGAGGCCCCCTTTGCCACTGGCGGGGAGCTTTGACTGGTAAGAAGGCCTTTCTTAGGCTGAACCTAACTCTTCCCCCTTGAATGTGGGGATGAAATAAGCTTACTCCTGCCTCTGACGCTTACCAGCCGCGTGACCTCAGTTGGGAAAAACCAGTTCATCTCTCTGGGTCTCCCTTGCCTCGTCTATAAAATGGATAGAACAGCATCGTTTTACGGACTGTATGAGAAAGTACAGGAAAGTAGTTTGAATCCTAAGGCATACTTCAAGGTAAGTGATTATCTAAGTTTCCACCCCTTGGTCTTAGTATGGTCCTTTGGATACAAAATGAAGAGCAACCCAATGGATGCAAGACTGTGCTACCCTTTGGGCTTCCAGGCAGGATGGTACGGGGGATAGATCACTGGGTTTGGGGTCAGAAGACATGAATCCCAGACCTGGGCTCTTCACTTAAGAGTTGTAGGAAAATAGGCAAGTCTCTCTGGGCTGCAAAATGGAAAGGCCTGGACTGGATGACCTTTAAAGACCTGAAGAACGACAGCTCTAGAATTTTATGTGTGGCTTATCTTCTTTGAGTTGAAATACAACCAGTTTCTTTAACTATCCCTCTTATAATTCACTTTTGTAAAAGGTTTACAAAGCATTTTCCTCAACAATCCTGTGAGTGGGGAACTACAAGCATTATTGGGATTCTCACCCACTCCAAGAGGCCCTTCCCCATCCCCCCTTTCATATTTCCTTTCCTCTACTCCTGGAAGTACCTCGTTGTTTGCATGCTGACTCCCACTCCCATAAGCATGTGAGCTTCTCACAGGAAGGTTAATGTTTTTGTCTTTCTTTGTATCCCTAGTCCTTAGCTCACCACCCAGCACATGGGAAGTGCTTAATACATGCTTGCTTGTTGACTTGACTTTCCATCTTGTAGACTGGGAAGCCAAGGCTCTAGAAGGTAAAGTGATTTTGAAATCTGAACCCAGATTTCCTGACTGTAACTTCAGAATTCTTCCCACTATCCCACATTGTCTTTATTCTTTATGAGACATAGGATCCAGAACCTTCACCATTCTGGTCATGCTCTTCTAGACACGCTCCAGTTTGTCAAGATGGTCCTCAAGCTGTGTGTGGTCCTTTCGCTATGTTCCAACAAGCTGAGGCTGCCATGAGATTATTACCTCCCACGTTCTGGACTTTGAACTCCTACTAGTGTGGCTCAAGATTTACCACAGTTCTTTTGATGGTGCAGGAAAGATCTGTTACACATCACATTATTGGTTGATAACAAAGTTTTGTAGTTAATAAGGACTTTTTCACACAAATTGCTGCTGGATGAGGTTTCACACGTTCTTTCTTGTCTGTATAATTTTTAAAAATAGCCTTTATATTCTTAGTCCCTGTCTCATTTCTTCTACTAAAGGCCTACTCTGGGGCCTCATCATGGGAGGGGAGGTAATCTGGGTTCTCAGAGGCTAACCGAGATGATTAAAAAGCTCAGACAGTTTCTACTAAGCTGGGAAGGCTTCTGTTATGAACCCAGGTATAGACTTGAAGTCTGTCATCCAAGGACTAGACCGGGAAAATTGGCAAGGGTCATCACCAGAAGGCTGGACACCAGAGAATGATTTTTAAAAAGCTATAGTATCTTATGAATACCATCTCCTGAGGCATCGTTAGGCTGCAATCTGCTTTAGTGGAAAAGTCTTCCCACTAATAAAATTGTGCATCTGTGTAGTATTCAAGTATACCTTCTCCCACTAATTTCACTTCAAAATCTATTGTCTATAAGCAATTCCAGCCTGGGCCAAGTAAGTCTCCCTTCCCAGAGGTATGAAGGATACCCTGGATGACCTTCCAGTCTTGACCAATATTCCACCCCCAAAAGGAATCAGACTCAATCAATCTTCTGGGCAATAGCAAGCACAACATTACTAAGTTTGATGCCCTCTGGCTGGCTCCTTAAAGGAATGAGATGAGTAATTTCTCAAAGCAAAATTAGAACTAACATTTTTATATCTTGGGCAAGTAACAAAAAATGGTCCTCAAGTCAACCTTTAAAGACAAATTCAGTTGTCAGTGGCAAGAGACCCTGGAACAAGGGTCCCCATGGGCAAAGATTCTAGGAAACAACGGGCAGAGGGAGGTTAGGAAGGACTTATCTAAGGTATAGCAGCTAGGAGGAAGAAGCTACTGGTTAGTTTCCTATTTTAACTAATTACTTTAGCTAGTGAGGTGCTCAGCTCAGTTTCTTTTTCACCAATGGATTGCAAGGGCTGCCAATTTCCTCTGAATTTCAGCACCTAGCAGAAACACCCTAGGAGGCCTACCCTCGTTCCAGTCCTATGTTTAAGCCACAGGAATTGATGGTTATCAATTCACTTTCAGATTAGTCCATGATATTCAGAGGCCTTGTTAAATTCATTGCAGTCAGAGGCATAAATTAATATTTTATAAAGGAATTCCTTTCCTAGCCAGCTACAGCTTGGTATCCCTTGCAAAGAACCAGGGAGATCCCAATAGCAGCAGGACCTTACCGAGTACTTCGAGGTCAAAGGAACAGGTGTCGAATTTGTCCTTGTAGGACACTTCACACCTGTAGTTTCCAGCATAGTTCTCCTTGGCTTTGATGATCTGCATCTCAAATGTGTACATCTGAAAAAAGATGGGTTGGCATAATTCACACCCGTCTTACGAGTACAAAGCTAAAAATCACAACGGTCATGTATTGGAAGCTAACTATTTGACTACTGAATACAAGTGCACGGCCATCCTCATGACTCGTCATTGGTACAGTGGAAAGGGCACCTGGCTCTGGAGCCGGAGGAAGAGAGTTCAAATGCCGCATTTGATGCAGGTTACCTGTGTGACCTTGGCAAACCAAATAACTTCCCTGGGGCTCAGCTTCCTCACCTGTAGAATTATAGGCTTGGACTCAATTGCTTCTGAGGACCCTTCCAGGTAGAGATCTGTGATCCTATCACTCCATATCTGTGTGATCTTAAGGAGATGACTTATGCTCCTGGGCCTCAGTTTCCACATCTATAAGCTTATGGGGGGGAGGGGTAAAATAAGGGTGTCGGACTCGAGGGCCTCATTTTCCCTTCTATCTATGATCCAGTTCTTAGAAAGTATCTTGGCTTTGAGAAGGACAAGGGGACCTACAAAAATGGAGTGTATCATATAGGACAGCAATGGAATGGAACCCTTCACTAAGTGCAACAGTCCCAGCTGGACAAGCACTGCGTTACCTTTCTCTTTCAGAAGACATCATGAACAATAACCAGGAAATCCAGTATCCAGATCAGCCTCAGATGAGAAAGCAGGAAGCCCGTGGGAGACTGCTGGGGAGGCTAATAGGCTGCCCTCACTGCTGGTCCTGGAGCTGGGGCTGGGCATGACCCCTCCCCACCATGCTGCTTTCTGCGCAAAGGCCCAGTTCCCTGGGGCTACTCACAGCTCTAGGGAAAGTCATCTCAGCAGGCAAAGACAATGAGCAAATATGCTTTGAGGTCAGGACCATACCCTCGTTTGCCTTTCAAAGGTTTCCTTCAGCTGAAGATGTTTCCCAGCTTTGCTGGCCAAGTCCATCCATTTTCCTTTGAACCATTTGACGGTGGGTTTTCGAAGAAGATCTTTGGCTTCAACTTTGGCTAAAAAGGTAATATTTTCACCTAAAAAAAAAAACCACATACAATTCCAACTTTGGTTAAAAAAATGTATATTTTTTTGTTTCACTATCAGCTACAAACAATTATTTCATTACCGGCTACAAAGAATGACCCAAACAATTCTGCCAAACCTGAAAAGTTAATGAAAATGCTTTATTCCCTACATAAATTTTAGAACAATACTAATACTACTAACAACGATTGTTAGCATTTATATAGCACTTTAAGATTTGCAAAGTGTTTTACAAATATATAATTTTATCTTCACAAAAACCTTGTGAGGTAGGTGCTATTATTATCCCCATTTTACAGATAAGGAAAGAGAGGCATACAGAGGTTAAGTGACTTTTCCATGGTCACACAACTAGTAGTATTTGAACCTGGATTTGAACTCCGGTCTTCCTTTCTCCAGGTTCAGCACTCTCTTCACTGTGCCACCAAGCTGCCTTAGAACTACAAATAAAATATTCAATTCTACAAGTCAGAGACTGTGGCTGAAAGAGTACTGCCAAATGTACCAATTAAGTGACCACAGACTATCTACATGGCTGGACAAGGAACTGGGACCTACTGGTGGAAACCTAAAACTTGCTGCTGTTTAACTATTGAACTATTCTCCCAGAATTCAGATTCACATTACAAAGGCTAGGCTTTGTCACACGGCTCAACAGGAGAGGGTTGAGGCTCAGCCTGTGAATTCATTGGTATAGGGATCTCTTGGGTGAGGAAAATCCCTCTGCCCATGCAGGTCACCAGCTTCTCTGTACCTTCTAGCCTTAGAGAATGGCCCAGAGACCCGAGAGTGGAGGGGACTGGACCAGGGTCACGTAATCAATCTCTGTCAGAGGTGAGGTCTGAGCACTAAGCATTCCTGGCTCCAATGTCAGCTCTCCATTCACAGTACCAAGCTGTCTCTATGGAATGCTCTCTACACCTTCTATTCTACCTTCAAAAACATTCAAATCTTTACATATTTTAGTAATATAATTAACCTTTTAAAAAAAATCACAAATATTCTCCCAGTAATGCTGGATGCTTGTGAATCTTGGAATACAACCACCTCTGAAAAAGCAAAGTTGCCAGTGACCCAATAGGCATAGGAGGGATACAGGAGGGGCTCAAGTCAGCTTCAGTGCCAGGGATGTTCTTTGTCCAAGGAGTGGTGGAAGGGAAGTTATTGAGGAAGCATATAATAAGAAAGAGAAGTGGGCTGGTCCCGTAGCCAGAGATACTAATTGCACGGGATAAAATAATACAGATGGGCTCTGTTCTGCCCAGACGGAGAGAATGGCCACGTCGGTGAGGCCCCAGATGATTCACTGAGGTATTGACAGAATGGACAGTCAACCTACCTAGCTGCCTAACAGACCCTACACAGCACTGGTCTGTGTGCATATATTCACCACACCTGTGAAATGTAAAACATCCGGGGCAGCTAAGTGGCACAGTGGATAGAGAACTGACCAACCCTGGAGTCAAGAGGACCTGAGTTCAAATCCGACCTCAAACACATAATACTGACTAGCTGTGTGACCCTGGGCAAGTCACTTAACCCCGCCTAGCCAAAAAAAAAAAGTAAAACATCATGACAGTGGAAGGTCATCAGTTTCTGCATTGTTAAGATAACTAGCGAGCTAGACAGACAGAATGATGGACAGATGAAATTATACATATATATACACACACATATATATGTCTAGGTAGATAGAATGATAGACAAATAGAACAATATGTAGATATATGATGGATGGAATGACATGTAGATAGATGGAATGATAGAATGACAGACAGAGGTATAGATAGATCCATAGATCATATGGACAGACAGACAGATAAATAGTGAGATAGATCATAGACAGGTAGGGAAGGCCTGTATTAAGGACTTACTATGTGCCAGGCACTGAGAATACAAACACAAGCAGGGAGGACAGTCCCCTCCCTCAAGAGCATCACTAAATTCCAGGCACTCACCAACTTTCACCGTTCCGTTCTGAGGCTTCTCCACAAAGAGCACACTTTGGGAGGTGTTGGAGTTCTGCTTATCCTGTTCTTCCCCGACTGGGGATTCACCAAGGGACCATTCTAAGAGGCAGGAAGTAAACAGATCACTTTCCAGGTAAGGTTGTCCCCAGAAAGAAGACTTACCTGTGCTCAGTGTTTGGATTAACTCAGGAACCGACCTTTTTTTAACGCAATAGCTTAACTCTCCCATTTTTTACAGGGTAATGGGTTTCAGTAAAATGAGATCTTACAGTTTTTTTGTGAGAAAAGCTCTCCATGATGGTGAGAAAAAGACATTAGAATGAGAACATTTCTAGGCAGAGGGGAAATTCTCGAACAAGTGGTAGGAATTTACCAGTCTTATCTTCATCATCGTGTTCTAAACCAGCCTAATCTTCCTTTTCGAGGTACATGACAGTAGCAAATAAATGGATATGGCCACGTCTGTGTGACTGCTCTAAAGTTAGATGGAACCAGCATAGCCCATCAATTCCCGAGAGGGAGGGGAAGAAGGATTAAGGAGATTAGATGAGTATTCCCTGGCTGATGTGCTTTGCTTGGTAGATGCATGAGGAAGGCCAACTAATCAATCCTGTCGCTCATCCTATGGATAAGCCCATGATTTAGGTTCTTTAATGAGCTACAAGTGAGAAGCTTTGGCTTGTCCAAATATTACCTGTGATATTACCATATCACCTATGACTAGGAAGTCCAAAGGTGACTTCCTGAATCAAGAAAAGTCTTTAGCATTCCTGTCCATAGTGAAAGAAAAGTTCAGAGTATTGACTCTTTCTGTTCCTTCTTTCCTTTTTCTATTCCTTCCCTCCTTTCTTCCATCTTTCCTTCCCCCCACCCCCAACAATCTCTTATTTTTAAGCAAGACAATTCTCTTCTATTGGGAGCTCCAAGGAAAAAGTCAAACTGGGATAACAGAGTGCTTAGAAATCATACAGAACTGCAGGCAGCTCAGCTCAGAGGAGAAATGCTGGAGAGGGAATGTCAGGCATTGCTTGATCCCTGCAATCTGTATTCAAAGTAGCCGGCTGAGAGCTGTAGGGAAGAGGGGCAATTTCAGCAGCTGTTATTCAATGGCCCGAGAAAAAGCGTAACCAGTGAACAAGCCTTAGCTGTTTCCTGAACCACAAGGAAGGATACATAGAATACTTTCCACTTCCGTTTGAAAGAGAGGCAGCTTCATTTTCCAACAAAATACTGCCTACAGCAAGATGAACATTTCTGTTAACTTTTGGTTTTGTTATTTAGAAAGCCAATGATCAATATTTATACTTGGATGGAGGGATCACCTAATGCTAGTTCTCACCCACATTTTGATGTTGATGTTTTATACTGTATTATTTTATACTGTATAGATTTATTTCGTCAAAGGATAGGGATAGGGACCGGGATTGGAATATGGAACTCCCAGGTGAGGAAACTCCCTCTACCAATGCAGGCCAACATTTTTTCTTGCAATGTGTAGTCTCAAAGAGCTCCCTGGGCACCGACCGAGATGTTAAGTGATTTGCCCAGGGTCACACTAGTCTAGTATGGGCTAGAGATTAGACTTGAATCCAGGGCTTCCTGGCTTCAAGACTGGCTCTCTGTTCACTGCGCTGTCCACCATTTTGTCAAGGAACAGAATTAAAAATGCATCCAGTTAAGTAATAGCAATATGCATGGTGGTCCTCAAGAGACATCTTCCTCCGTTGCCTCATGATGGGGTAGAAGTGACCTTAGGTGCTTTGAAGGTTATGACATCAGAGCACAAGCTCTGGCAGGTTCTACCAGGCAGATACATCTTTGAATATGGCCAAGGTAACCAACTGGCACTGTTGCCTGAAGGCCAGGAGGCTCATCTCCAGTAGACTGGCCATTTGGTGACAAATTCATTGGCCACAGCAACCTAGGAAACTCACGAATGGGAACAGTTAATGGGGCCTAGTCTCCCAGCAGGGTGGGGAAAATCACATATTTCTCTACTTGTCAAATGACCCTATTTTATCCACTCTGTACCACTTCTAGGGCCCAAATATAAGGCAGAGTTAAATACAGGTCATGTATTGTTACAACCAAAATATCTTTGTAATGATAGCAATTTCAAGTCTTAGATGATGGCTTAGTCATTTTAAACAAATATTTTAAAGAAGGGTGATGAGATTGGATCTGCCTACTGATTCCCTATTTTCTCAATCGTCACCTCAGTGGATCTCCATTGGTTCCTATGCAATACCAACTCTCTCTCTCTCCAGGGTGACCTCAGTGTATCCTACTGACTATTCACTGGGAATATATGTACATGGAACAGCCCAGAAGACCACTTCCTAGGGTAGGAGTAGAACAGGGTATTTTAAATAATTATTCTCACCAATCAGTTGCTAAGTGCAGTTTTCCCCCCAGCTGCTTAAAGTGCTATCAAATTGTACATGGAACAAATTTTTTTTTTATTGGTTAGGCAATGGGGTTAAGTGACTTGCCCAGGGTCACACAGTTAGTAAGTGTCAAGCGTCTGAGGCCAGATTTGAACTCAGGTCCTCATGACTCCAGAGCCAGTGCTGTATCCACTGCGCCACCTAGCTGCCCCAGAACAATTTTTTAAATTGTGCAATCTTTTAGAGTCATTACATGTCCATACCCTCTAAATTCTGGTACCCCTGGGCAAAGTTCTCCCGTTGCCCTGCCTTGGGCTCGACTCCACTCTTTTTTTGGTCTCCCTTCTCACACTGTCCAAAACTCTACAGTTGCAGTTTATCTGCAGTTAGCACAGCACCAACCTTAGTGTCCACCTAGCCCCAGAAATCTGCCTTCCCTTGCCCTATGCGCTCATGCCTTCCCATCATGGTCTTCACTGATGCTGATGCGTTCTGGGTTTCAGTAACTACTCCATTCTAAAATACTAATGGAAGAATTAATTTTAAGTGGGGCCTTGTGGAGACAAGGGTCCTGCTTTGTTACATAACCCATTAGTGACTGTAAAAGCCCAAGGCTATCCAAAAGAAAGAGTAAAGGTTTATCTCATTTGGGGACTTGTAGTGCCCTTCACACCCTGGGGGCCTTCCTATTTCACCTGTGATTAACTCCAACCCTGTCAGACTAAGTCCATATTAATCAATGTTCCCTATTTCTCCACTCTCTTCTTTATAAAGTACACCAATTTAATTCAATTAGGCAAAAATGTAATAAGGGGCAACACAATTTATTTATCTTTGACAGGACAGTGTAAGGAGACCTTTCTTTCCTTCTTTTTTTTTCTAGAAAGTTTTCTAGAAAAAGAACTTTTACTGAAAAGATATCTTACAATCTGATCCCATAATAAGATTATATTTGATGTTTATGAACTTTTGTTTCCTTAATAAATAAGCTCTATGAGCTAATAAGCATCTTTAAGCACCTCCTATAGCCCAGGCACTGTGCTAAATGCCAGGGATACAAAGAAAGGCAAAAACAGTGCCTGCCCTCAGGGAGCTCATAGTCTAAAGAGGGAGATAACATGGAAGCAACTATGAACAAGAAGGTATATATAGGATAAATTGCAGATGCTCTCAGAGGGAAGACATTTGCATTAAGTAGGGACTGGTTAAGGCTTCTTGTAGAAGGTGAGGATTCAGCTGACACCTGAAGAAGGCCAGTCACTAAGAATGGAGATAGTCCTTCCTGTGTGACTTCTTGATCTCCATGTTTGACAAATATTGTAGAAGCACAATATCTGGCAGAAGATAAACACTTTGAGGACAGAAAGTAGCTTCCTTTTCTATTTTTATCCCTAGGACTCTACCACAGCATACACAGTACACAGTAAGTACTTAATAAATACTTTTTCAATCATTGCTTCATTTTGTCTTTGAATCCATTGCACCTAGCATTGTGCTGGGCACACAGTCGGTATACCTGGTGAATGCTTGCTGAATTGACTTGAAAGGAAAACAAAAGTAATGATAAAACTTGACTAAACTGTGAATATTTACCGTTTGCCACATATATATATATGTATATAATTTCCACTGATTTCCTAACAAAATGATGTTCTTGTAAACAGAGTGCACTAGGAGATTCTTATGGAGGATAAGACTGAAATAAAACAAATGTTAAAAGTCGAATCACAGAATCAACACCTTTAAGGAAAGAGAGCATTAGTGGTCAGTCATTTGAAGACATGAATGGAATGTCTTGTTTATTCAGGAATGCGCTCACCTGAATCTTTCCTTGCCAGTGCCCGGGCATTGATATCTGAAAGGAAAGAGTAACTTGGATGACACTGTTAAAAGAATTTGGGATGACTTCATACCCTCTTAGTCCTCCCAAAAGCTGGCTCTTCTGTTGATAGAGAGAACATTGAAGTTGGTTTATGTGATAAATCACCAGGAGCTTTGTAAATATAAAATATATATACATATGAAAGCATATGGCAGGACTGGAAACTCAAGTATTACTATTTTTGTGAAATTAGTATCTCAAGTCATATTAATTTTATTTAATTCATTAAGCAAAGTTTCCTTTTCCAATACTGTGAAAATTACAGTCCAAGCTTTTTAGTTCCTGGCCATGGAGCCATTCTGGGTGAAATCCCAGGGAGCTTGCAGCTCAAAGTTCCACGTAGCAGCTGACTTAGACTTCTTTTTTTCTAGCCAATTAACAATAAACTTAAATTTAAAAATTGGAACCATCCTAACCTGCTGGCAAGGCACTGGGTGGAGAGACATCACCTTCACCTGGAAAAAAGAAATAGGAAGAAAATAATCAAGGGAAAAAGAGCCTTGTCCACATTAACCTTCTTTGGGGGGAGAAGGAATGGGAGTGAGGTGGTAGTGGGAGAACCAGAGATGAGATGAGAAAATGACACCTGCAGAAAAAAAGGGGAAGGAACCACTTGTAGAGAGAACTTCAAACTAAAAGATAAAGCTCAGAACCCTTAGAAGGTGAAGTGGTGATTCAGTGAAATAAATTTAAAAAGAACAGGCAGCAGACCAACTAAACTGAATCAAAGGTTTAGGGAAGATGAGCCATGGGAAAAGTTCTCTGTATGGCTGAGAAAAGAGGTAACATGGAAATCGCCAAATGGTGAAACCAGAGTCAATAGCAGATCAGATCACAGATTTGGGGTTGGAGATTGCCTAATCCAACCTCCTCTCTTTATATATCATTGGGTCATAGATTTAGAGTTGGGCCATAGGGTACAGTCTTGTCTTTCGTAGAAGAGGAAACAGGCCTAGAGAGGTAAAGATGACTTGCCCCAGGTCATATAAGTAAGAGGTGGCAGACCTGGGATTTGAACCCAGATCCAGCACTCTTCCCACTAATCCACACTGCCTCTCTTAATTCAGTAATTTCCTTTGCAGCAAGCAAAATGTCTGTCCTTTATATTATTAACACATTTGTATTGTTTTGGACATGAGCATGAATCAGTGTTTAAGAATATATCTTTTCTGAAAGATTAGAAATAATAAGTAAATTTGGCCTATGTTTAACCAACACCTTAAAAGCTTTTGAATATTTAATGCCCACCACACTAAAGGGAAATGGAAAGAAGAACAGGGGTGCAAGTAGGCCATAGGTCCATTTGCAAACATGGCCTTCATGCAAGAATTTGTTCTTCTTACTAAATACATCACAAACCATTTAAAGATCTTTGTAACAATTTTTCCAGGATGAATGTCATCATTATTTAATTCTGTATAGTACTTACAAATATTTCATCAGCTATACTTATATGAGATAAAACTGTAAGTATGGTGGCAGCATATTTATGGTATTTCATACACGTATACTGACTAGACATCCAAGTAAAATGCTTGAACTTCAAAGGCAGGAATAATATTAATTTTAGACCTTGAATAAAAGAGTCTTAAAACTCTAGCGATGTTGGGTGCTTCTCATTTAAGACCATAACAATTCATGAGGACCACCTACTAAGGTGTAGAAGCACCAATGAAATCACAGATCTTTTGAACTCTCAAAAATGTGTTTGGCAAAAAAAATTAAAAGCATGAAATATCACTGTTTAAAAGTGGTTTTTAGGGGGCAGCTAGGCAGCTAGGTAGCACAGTGGATAGAGCACCGGCCCTGGATTCAGGAGGACCTGAGTTCAAATCCGGCCTCAGACACATAACACTTATTAGCTGTGTGACCCTGGGCGAGTCACTTAACCTCATTGCCTAGCCAAAAAAAAAAAGTGGTTTTTAAAGCTGCCTTAAAACTTGTGAAAATGTTTGACTGAGTATGAATTCTTTAAAAAAGTAAGCCTAAAATAGTGCATAAAATTAGATCTAGAAAACTATTATACATTTACCACAATAAATATTTTGAGAAATTTCTCAAGAAAAACACATATATTAGACCACTTTAAGAAGCAAAATCATTTGGAATTATCTATTTAACACAAACTCTACATTTTCTTGTACTTAATGCAGAATTTGAATACAAATGTGATTCACCTACCTGATGTTTTCTGCCTCATCAGAGGTGTATTTTGGGCTACAAATGATGTATTTGTAATTTGTCTATATAGCCAGAGCTGTGAAGACAGTCATATCTGGTAAACATGACCCCAAATTGGAGTTAGGGTGCATATTCAACACAAAAATGTGAAAATTTCAGAGGCTACTGAAGTCATTGAAATATATTCTGCATTTCAGGTGACTGGAGATTCTATATCACATCTCCTGGAACTTTGCTATTACATTATTCATGATAGAAAGAACAGCATGAAATGAGTTCTAATCAAACATTTCCCAAGGATGTAAATTACTGAAATAGCTAAAGGATTTCCTTCTCTATCTCCCTCTACTCCAAAACAGTGCCATATCCTGGTCCCTCATATTTATATTATCACTTGGCTTGTGTGTTGCTGTAAAAATGAAAATAAATTTTTACCATTTATCAGAAACTTAGCAAAGAACTTCTACCAATATTGGACAAAGAAATGAAAAACTAACTGAAAAGGACACATCATCCTTCATTTTTTTTTATTTGGTTGTTTTTGGAGGGCACTAAATGAACATAAAAATTCTCTCTCAGATCTTTGAGTTAATTCCTTACTAGAAGGAAAGATAGTCTTCACATGCTTTCATAAAATCATGAGAATTACATAAAAATTAATGAAGATAATTTTGACGGACCAAATCATAGCGGATGAGTGCCTTCAAATTTAGTGAAAGTCAGGCATTTAAGACAACACTTCAAAAATGAACAATTTTGAAAGATGTGAGAACGCTGATCAATTATCATTCCACAGAACCAATTACAAAGGAAGCTACCCACCTCCTGACAGAGGCAATGACTACATGTGCAGAATGAGGAACATTTTTTGCAAGAATATTTTTTTTAGGGGACAAGAAAGAAAAAAATGAATGCTTGATAATTGAAAAAAGAATTTTTAAAAAGCTGGGTACAGCTTTTCCCTTTGTGTGGTGAGAGGCCCACAGTTGTTACATACTGCAATTATTTTTGGACGTTTTCAATGTATTGATCAGTTGTGCTGATTTTTTTTTTCCTCTCTAAAAAACTATTTGTCATATGGGAGGATGAGGGATATGTGCTCTTTAGGAGGTAGAGGAGGAGGGATACTTGGGATAACCATGGTGATGTAAGAAACAGAAAATATCAATAAAAACTTTTTAAAAATAGTGAATTTTTAAAAATTGGGCATTATAAAAAGAAGCATTCTTGGGAATGGGAGTGTGGAGACTGGGAAAAGGGGAAGACATATATGTAAAATCAAGGCTTGAGAATACTGGTGTTTGGTTTCCTGAAAGAAAAATCATTCCTCCAAATGAGCCAAAATGTTTCCCAGGGAATAATTACTTAATTCAAAGATGCCTTATACTAAAAATGGCAAACTTCAGAGACTACTAAGGAAAACAATTTCAGGAAAAGACACCCAATGTGTCTAACAGGCATAACATTTACTATCTCCTCCCAAAATAGCTTAGGACCTGAAATTGCTTTGCAATAATTTAATTATGATATTCACGTTGAAAAATTAGCTTGTCTGAGTCAAGGTCTGTGAATTTATGAGTTTCTTAGATATGGCTGAAAATGCCCAGGTTGAATTTGCCATGGAAATATTCCCACAGTCCATAGGCTCCATATTAGGCTCCTTGAAGGTAGGGAGGGATTGTTCCTTTTTGTCTTTGTCTGAATGTATTTTTAATTAAACAATACGATAAGGGCTGGGACTGAGGGGCAGGACCTTTGCATATGGACATCTGAGGGATGAGATGAGTCTGAAAGTCAAATCATCAGAGATGTAAGGCTAGACCAAACCTTAGTGGCCATGTAATTCAAATCCCCTTATTTTGCAGAGCGGGAAAGTGAGACCTGCAGAGGTTAAGTGACCTGGTCAGGGTCACACAAGCTAGCAAGTGGCAGAGTCAGGATTCAGGATGGTGGAATGCAGATGCTATTATCATGTTCCAAACCAATTTATTGTATTAGCGACATCAAAAGCTCATCTCGTCAGTCAAAAAGTACTAGGATTCCCTGAGTGTGGTCTAGGATTCCCTGAGTGTGGTCACTTCTACCTTAGATTAAAAATGATTTCCAATTTTAAAAAAACATACATTGAACTCAGTGGCTGTTAACTGTTGAGTTTTTAGGATAAAGGCTGAAGGCAATGAAAATTCAAAGAAATAGAATCAGTCAATGTTTGTGAGACAGAAAATACCTGCATCTTTGCCTGGGCATTAAAAGCATTGACTTGCCCATGGTCCTACAACTTTTATGAGTATGAGGTAGTACCTGAAACCAAATTTTCCTGATTCTCAGGCCATCTTCCACCCACCACACCACCCTGTGTTTCAGAGACTGAGTTCATTTACACAACAGACACAAACAAAGTTATATGGTGGTGATAAATCCAGGTGAGGGCAAAAAACACTTAGAATGTTACTTGTGCACATGGATTCCTATGTTTTGAGATATTTGAGTAACTGATGCTAGTTTTTAATATACCATTTGCTAAAAAGGAAAAATGTAATTAAATTATGTAGATGAAGCATGCAGACATTTTAGTTAATAGTTGATTAACTGGGTGGAAGCTAAAATAAGAGGACACAGGATATGTTTTCAGTCTGCTAGTCAAAAGCACCAGGGCATTACTTCATTTATAAAGAAAGCTGAGAGGAGAAAAGGAAGAAAACAAGGTGGACATATTAAGATACACTCACACACACACACACACACACACAACCCACAAGGGAGTAGATTTGTTAGAACTTCTGAAGGCTTATTTCCATCTCTGCAAAACAGATTCATAATAAAAAGAATGTGAATCCCAAGTTTTATAAAATACCAGTTAGATGCCTATAGAAATGAAGAGAAGTAGATCTGAAACAAGTCCACAGTTTATGGAGTACTGTTAATGAGAAAGGTCCAGTCAAATGCCTGAAAAAGCAATAAAGGTGTTAAGGTGTTCTCATGCCTATTAGTAGAATATTCCTGGAGGACATCCATGAAGAAATGCCTCTTCCTCCTGTGGCCTGGGTGTGATTTGCACTCCTGGAGAGAGCACCCCGTCAGTGAGATCTGAGACCCACAAAGCACAGGATTATCTGTAATAGGAATATGAGGCAGAAACCACGACAGACAGGCTTGCCTGCGGTTATATAAAAATGATCCAATTTCATTTTTACAAATATTCTAGAGCCGACACCCGACATGTCCAAAGAGGCACCCGCCTTCAAAGCAGCCGCCTTGTGACCAAATGCAGTACATCCATATCTCAAAACCTTTACTGAGGGCTTCCCATTGGACTGTCCCTAGGATTGGGGTAGAAGAAAACTCAGGCTCTGATATCATACCTAACTTTTAATCAAGAATGGCGTCACCTCATTCACTGAACTTGGCTCCAAATCATTTTTCTTTGCAAAAACTGAGTCTATCCTGAAAGGATGGAGATTTGCCACCATTGAGGAGACTGAAAAGATGTGGGAATGTGTTTTGATGAACTTTCAGAAGAGGAGTTCAAGAATGGTTCAAATAACGATGGCACCAGTGGGTTCATTTTATGGCCTCCGAAAGGGAAGATTTAGAATGAGACAATAGTCATTTGGCTATCTACACTCTGGTATGTGAATTAAAAAAAAAAAAGCAGTCACTTTATCTTACAGCTATTCCTTCTACCTCAACTCTACTAAACTTGGTGGGTGGCTACATAGAATTGACGGAAGGGGCCTGAGTGGTGATTACACATTCTTCCAGGTTATTGGGGAATAGAGTAGGCTGGAGGGGAATCACAGGATTGTGGTGGGCAGCTGAGAGTATGAGGCCAGAACACAGGCAGACAGGTGCTTCTGCTTAGGATTTGGTGGGTTCCCAGACACTCGGCAAACCTGGCAGAGTTGATGAGCTTTGTCATCAGTATTTCTCTTTAATGTGCCACCAGGTGATCCCTATGGTCATGAAAAAGATTTATCACAATATCAAAGCTAATAAAACAATTCTTCCCCTCCCCCCAAAAAATCATCAAAGCTACCCTGACACTAATCTGGACAAAGTAGAGGAAAAAACTTTTAAGTTTAATCTCTAACAATGAAAATTCTTTCTATATTTTGACATTTATAGAGAGAGATAATTCAGTTATGTATCAACTGGTCAGGTAGAGGGCTAAGTGGCATGCTAAGATTTCAGCAACAGGCTTGTGAAAATGAATTCAATGGTTTCCAGCAGATACTCATTATATGCCAATTTTGAGGCCAAAGGGAATAAGTATCTGGAATATTCATGCCTGGTGTCTCTCATAACCCTTCCTACGCCTGTTTTTTTTTAACTAGGTAAGAATTGTCAAGGTATCCTCACCTTTCTATTTGCCATTCATTTGTAACTGGATAGAAATTAATTTGGATGATGGGTAGCACCCATGAGGCTTTAAAATATTGTTGGACAACCAGCAATTCCTATAGGGCACAAATTCATTGGTTCATGTAACACATATTCTTTGAGAGCCTACTGTGTGCATGCTACTGTGTTTGATAGAGAAGTGAAAGTTGGGATTTTCTCATAACCTGATTGAGGGAAGATGTGCACGAGGGAAATATTTTAGCTACAACCCAAGGCAGTACAAGATTGAGTGTTAAAATGAGTGAAGACAGAAAGAAGGGACCAGTGTGAGCTGAAACAAAGGGAAGGGAAAGTAAGATCAGCTGAGCCTTGAAGAATGGGTGGCAACTGGATGGACTGAGAGGCACAGGAAGACGTTCCAGTGAGGGCAAACACCCAGCACAGGAGGGATTATCCTCATTTTGCATTTTTACCCATTTCTCTCTCTTTTCATGCATGGATCATAGGATCAGAGATTCAGAGCTGGAAGGGACATTCAGTGTCATTTGGTCCAACTTCATAATTTTATTGATGTCCAGTGAAATTAAGTGGCTTATGTATCATTATGCAGTTAGAATTTGAACTCATGTCTTCCTTACCTCAAGTCCAGGGGAAGTTAAAAAAGAGGAGAGGAAGTAATTTTCTATGTGATCTCAAGAGTTCTTTTATTTTTTCTTTTAGAAATTTGTGTTGGAATCATATTCAACCTCAGAAGCAGACTCATGGCAAATAAAGTGGGAAAACTCAACACAGAGTTATAGAGATAGGAGCACCAGAACAACAGCTGCTGATGCTCCTTCTTCTTCTAGCTTTGTTGAAGGCAATCCTTCCTTTCTCTTCCTCCCAACTTACCTTTAGGGGGTCCAGATCCGCCCTCCTTCTCTTTACTTTGTTCTGTATGGAAAGTACAAAGAAATGTTTGAGAGGATCTTAAAATAGACGGAAAACATTTGTAATTCTAGGGCTAGTAAGAAAAAGGGAAGTCAATGATTATCATCGCCATCATCATCAATCATCATCATCATCATTATCATCTTCATAGCTAGCATTTTCATAGCACTTACTATGTGCCAGGCACTGAGCTAAGCACTTTGCAAATATTATCTTATTTGATCCTCACAACAATCCTGAGAGGTAGGTGCTGGTCTTATCCCCATTTTACAGATGAGGAATGTGAGGCAAACAGAGGTTAAGTGATTTATCCAAGGTCACACAGGTTGAAAAGATCAGAACAAGGTTTTGAACACGTGTATCCTGACTCTGGGTCCAGCCCTCTTGCCACACAAGTCCCCTTGGTGCCTCCATTTTAGGAGGTGGGGATGAGGATGGAGTACATTCCAGGCATGCAGGACAGTCTGTGCAGAGACCTAGTAATACAATCCAAGTGCACGCCAAAGAAAAGATTAACCTATCAGAAGGTCCAGACTGGGTCCTTAGAATAACTGTGTAGAATGGAATTCTGCAGGAGTCAGATTCACATGCTCTCTTCTGCTCCTCCCAGCCCCAGCCCAAAGGGATTCAGTTATTAAAGCGTTAACAGAACTTTTTTTTCTTCCCCATTCATGGCTGTCTTCTCCATTCGGTGGTCCCATAGCATGGAATCTGAGGACTGTGTCATGGTAGATGCCAGGGTAGGAGAACGGCACCCAGCAGGAAGAGTGGGAAAGGCCACAGAGCACAGAGGGAAGAACTAGCCCTGAAGCCGGAGGGGTCAGGTTTGAATCCTCCTTCCGATGCTTGGACCTATGTGACCTTGGGCAAGTCATCCCACCTGGGCTTTGGTTCTCTAATCTTCGACATCTGAGTTGGACTCTGGGGCCAGGAAGGTCCCTTCCAACTATAACCCAGTTTTTCAGTCCCTACGTGCAGCGGTGCGGCAGTGACCGTCTGTTCCTTTTGGACAACAAACAGGCCATCCCATCTCAACAGCTGTGACTGCTCGCTGGCCCGTGTGGTGTCTTCCAGTAGATCTGGGAGCCTCAGAACCCCACCTCGGATACATGTACTAGCCGTGGGTCACCCTGGACAAGCCCCCTGTCCGGCTGGAGCCTTTGCCTCCTTTTCTGTAAAACGAGAGCGATGACAGCAGCTCTCTCACGGGGTCACAGAGGAACGCTGACTTAGAGCTGGATGGGAGCTCACCCCTCATCCAGCCCAATGGCTCCATTTTGCTTTTAAGGAAAATGAGGTATTTGTGAGGCTCAAATAAGATAATGGACATAAAGTGTGTTACCTGAGTTGTTGGGTGTGACTCTGAACATCACAAGGAAATGCTAAGTAACATGTAAATGATAAGGCTAACTTCAGATTTCCTTGTTATTTAGCCTATCACTTATCAGTGTAATTTTATCTAGCTTATATCTCTGATGTAGGTTTTATTTTTAAATAGTTGAAAATTCAACTTTTTGGACTTGACCTGTGATTTCATAGGTTTAGAGACATCCCAGGGACAAAACCACTCATGCAAGTGGCACTTGCCTTATGATTTATCGCCTTAGATAGTTGCCTGGGGCAGAGAGTGATTACAAATGGATGGTGCAGGATTGCATAGCTAGTATGTGGGAGAGGCAGGACTTGAACCCAGGCCTTTCTGCCTCCAAGGCCAACTTTCTGTCCATACAATGCACTTCCTTTAGTAGAGGTTTCCTAAATATAGAAAACATAGAGACTAGAGAGATAAGCCAGCTGCCTCCACTAACAGGCTCCTCAGCTGTCTTCTGGCATGGTGATGACCCTGAGACCTCGAAGGCTATGCCAGCAGGGCCCAAGCCCTGGTTGATCTTACCAAGAGCCTACCATGCTTCCAGCAAGGGTTGGCAAGAGATCACTGCAACCTCTGAAGAAAGGTCATGATGGTCACTGGTGAAGGGACTCCCCATACCAGTGGATCTCTGAGGGATGAAGGCATATTAGACAGCTTCCATTATTACCTGGCTTAAATGATGAATGCCGTCGTCCAGTTTCCTCCATCCAAGCCTTCCTCTAGTGCCTCATCTCGCTAAAGAGGCAACTGTGGGCTTTCGAGGGGCAATGAAACACAAGCTCTGGGAAGTCCGATCCAAGACCAGACAAAGGGCTTCAAGCATTTCAGTCCTCGTAATACTCTATGAGTTATTATTATGTCCCATTTTATAGCTGGAAAAACTAAGGCTGGGAAAGATGGCATGACTTGCCCATGGTCACAAAGCCAGTCGTATGCATGAGAGGCAGGGGCTGAACAGTAAGTCAGCCTGGCTGGGGATCTGATATTCTATGGATTACACACCCTCAGGGAATGCTGCCAAAAACCTGGACTCTTGATATGTCAAAGTGTTATCTGGGGTATGTTTACATTGTAAGTAGAGGCAATTCTCTAGAACATTTAAGTTCCAGAAAAGATGCTGATCTGCACGGATAGAAGAAAATCCTTGCTGAGAGCTCCCTACAATGATGACTGATAGGTCTAGTCAAAAATGGTGCGTGTGTGCTCGTGTCCACATGTGTGTATGTGTGCAGATTGGGATGACTTATCCATGCTCTCACAAAGATCACTGGGCAGCACCAAGTGAGAAAGCCAAAAAGAAATCTTATTTTGGTGACAGTCACACAAGTTAAAAAAAACCCCAAAAACAAAGGTTATGTCTGTATCAATCTATAGGAAGGAGCCGAGTGTGGCATGATGGGGGCAGAAATAAATCAAGCCTTCTTTGGAAGGCAGGATGTCTGTCAGGTGGAGAAAATATCCATGGAAGTAAGAGGATTCCGGAAAGAAGTGTGACACCTCTCTGGGCTCTGAAGTAGGTTATTTACGAGGTCTGGTTTAAAGTAACTTAGATGAAGATGTGTCATTTATGGTCTTATAATGATCATACCCTATCTCATGTTACTGTGAGGGCAGCATGATGTGGTGATAAAGAGCAGCCCTCAGAAGAGATGGGACTGACACCTAGGTTTGGATCCCACTTCTGTCACAACCTGGACGTGAGACCCGGGCCAACTCTGTCAGCTGAAAAGTTGCTCTGCATCGATGGAGGGAGTTTTCTCACTGGGAGTTCCCTACATGGACGAAATCATAGGCCCCAGATCCCTGCAAAATGTGTGTTGCTGCGGCAAGGTTTCTTTTGGTTTATTTTTCCAAATTGGATTGAGAGATTACTGTTGGTGTTGAAATTTCCCAAATATTTGGATTTAACCAAATGGCCTCTAAAATAGAGGCACCTAAACCCACAGACACTTCCGTAGGATGGGTAGCTAGAAACTCAGATTAGCTTAGCTGAAGCATCTATTAGCACCAGGCACTGCACTAAGCCCTGGGAATAAAAATAATAATCAAAAGGAAAGCCCCTGTTTTCAAGGAGTCTTACATTCTAAAGCGGAAAGATAATGCATGAAACAAGCTGAGAATAAGGGGGAAAGCTAAGAAGTTACTTCTTAAGCCACATCAGCCCACAGTGTTCTCAACCAACATTAATGGTGAAAACTTTATAATTAATAATAATATAATACAATTGGTTTAATTAACAGCATAATTAACAGTAGCTGGAAGGAACCTTAGGGATCAATCTCCTTCTTCAAATTTTTATATTCACTCATCTGGGTAAATGTTGGAATGCAAGTTCCCTGAGGACAGGAGCTGTTTTCCAATTTTGTCTTTGTGTCCCCATTGACTGGCACAGGGCACACAGTAAGCCCTTAATCTGTGTTTATGGAGTGGAGCTGAACTGAACTGAGGAGCAGAGAAGGAAGGTGACTTGCCCAAGGTTGATCAGTGGCAGAGCTGGGACTGTATCCTCTCTAACCTTTTAAAAATTTTGCTGGAGTCTTACATTATTTATTTCCAGCCTCACAAAACTTTTCGTGAATCTCTGTCTTATCTCCACGGTGTACTCAGAATCAGAACCATAGAATCACAGAATTTTGGAGTTGGAAGGAGCTCAGCACCATCGAGTACAGCCCACACTGGAAAGGAATCCCCACTAGAACTGAGCCGAGAAGCAGCCAGTCAATTCTGCCCGAAGGCCTCCAAGGAGGGGGAGCTCAGCGTCTCTTGAGGTGGCCCATTCCACCTCTGGACTAATTGTTCCATATCAAATCTACATTTGCTTCTTTGCAGCTTCCACTCATTTCTCTGCCTTCTTCTACACAGCACTCCTTCAGATCCTTGAAGACAGCTGTCATCTCCTCCCCAAGCCTTCTTTTCTCCAGTTCCTTCAAAAGATCCTTTGATGATATAGACTCAAGACTCAAGACTCAAGACATCAGCATGGTTGGCCTCCTCTGGCTGCTCTCCAGCTGATCAAGGCGGAATACCAAAGCTCCAGCCCCTTCTGGTTCCTAAAGGCTGTGCCTGTGTTAATGCGGTCCAAGACCATATTCTCTTTTTTGGCAGTCATAGCATATTGCTGACTCATATGGTGCTTGCCATCCACTAAAACTCCTAGATTTTTTTCTTCATACTGCTGTCTACATCCTGTAGTCATGCAGTTGATTTTTTTGATCCCAAGTGTTTACTTTACATTTGTTCCTATTGAATTTCATCTTGTTAAGTTCAGCTCAGTGCTCTAGATCTTTTTTTTTTCTTTTGGCTAGGCATTGGTGTTAAGTGACTTGCCCAGGATCACACAGTTAGTAAGTGTTATATGTCTGAGGTCACATTTGAACTCAGGTCCTCCTGAATTCAAGGCCAGTGCTCTATCCACTGCACCACCTAGCTGCCCCTTAAGTGCCCTAGATCTTGACTGACATCCAGTTTAGTGTCATCTACACAGATGATCATGTCATCTATGCCTCTAAAAAATGTTTAATAGTACATAGGCAAACTCAAATCTCTCTGTCACTATCTGGGTGACCTTGGGCAATTTGTTTAATCTCTCCGAGACTTGATTTCCTCACATGTAAAATGAAGGTTTAGATGGTCTCTGAGGTCCCCTGTGGCTCCAGACCTACACATCTATGACGCCTAGGGCCTTCTCCTGGAGCCTGTCATTGAATCATTAAGGATCGCTCCCAGAGCCAACCCTTTACTTAGAAGCCTCACAGTCGCGTTATCAGCTACTCCACACCTCTCCATCTTCTCCCCAAGACTGGCATGAGGTACTTTGGCAAAGGCTTTGTTAAAATCTAGGTGAATTATATCTACAGCATCCCCCTTAACTTTGCTGTTCTTGTTTAGTCTTTTTCAATCATGTCCAAATCTTTGTGACCCAATTCGGGGTTTTCTTGGCAAACATACTGGAGTGGTTTGCCATTTCCTTCTCTGGCTAATTTTACGGATGAGGAAAGCGAGGCAAATGGGGTTAAGTGATTTGCCCAGGGTTACACAGCTGGCAAGTGTTCAAGGTTAGATTTCAATTCAGATCTTCCTGACTTGAGGTCACCTAGTTTTCCCTAACTACCTGTTCAGAAACACTGTTGAAAGAGAGAATGAGACAAGTCTGGAATGACTTATCCTTGATGGAGGCATACTGGCAATTTGTAATCAATGCTTCCCTTTCTAGATGCTCAGTAACCATCTCTTTAAAGACCTACCCAAAATTTTCCCAGGAATCTAAGTCAAGCTAATGACTTTATAATAGGAAGACTCTTCTCTTGAGTTTTTTAAAAAATCAGTACAAAATGTGTCCTCCAGTTCTGCAGCACTTTTTCTGTCTTTCATCTTTTTTCAGTTGCATCTCCCAGTTCTTTCAGCTTCTGACAACGTGATTCATAGGTGACCTGGTTCATTAGGGGCAGCTAGGTGCTCTCTCACTGTTCCCTTACTCATCCTGTACATCGACTTGATGGTGGTCTCAGCCCTGCTACCAACTGTGTGACCCTGAAGCAAATCACTTCCCCTTTCTGGGGCTTAGTTTCCTCATAGTCCCTGCCCTCAAGGAGCTTATGGTTGTCGTTTTAGCGGTTATCTACCTAGTGAGGGGTGCACAAGAACAGAGCTGGTCTTTGGGCAGGGGTCAAAGGAAAAGCACTGTGTGCTTGAGTACAGCTTCCTTTGCTTGTTTGGGCCATCACAACCCTACCTAAGTT